ACACGTGATGTAAGGGTTATCAACTTGTTTTAGATATATTTCAGCTTTTTTCTTGTTATGTTAAAAATGTAACTTGGGGCTATTAGCGACATTGTCTGCAGTCAACACTTACTTAATGTTACAAGTTATGTTTCATTTCATGGCACTGTTGTAATATTATTTTATTATGTTATAAGATATTACTTGTCATTGATCTGTTGGCATCATGAGAGATTATCTTATTAGAAATGAAGTCATAATGTTTGTTTCATGATCAGAATGTTAGTCATAAAACCTGTCATCTCAATTTCTGCTCTTTACTGACCCAATCATGAGGAGGACATTCCTATAACATTTATATGTATTGCTGTTAACATTGCAGCCGTGGTATATAGTCTTTAGTACATAGCTGTCATATATCTCCCTGCATGTAAGTGGCCATTGTACTAGACACACCCAAGTTTCAGGACACCAGTAGCTGATCTCTGGCTGTAACATACGTTACTAGAAATATCGTGTTGGGAGAATAAATGATCTACCTAGAAGGTATGGGAGGTAGTAGAACCCCTCTTGGAATATATATTGGGTAAGACTTGTGTATGCAGAATGGTGATTGGTGTTTAAGACTGTGATTGGCAATATGTTTTCCATTTTTGTTGGTATTAGTTGTGATTTGTGCTATTTACATTTTATTATTTTACATTTGCTGGTATATTTTCTACTTTCACTTGTATAATAATTTTAGATTTTTCCAGTATTATTTGATGTTTTCCCTGTATTATTTTATATTTTACAAATATTATTTGACATTTTACACGTATTATTTGACATTTTCCAAGTATTATTTGACTGTTTTCCAGTATTATTATATATTTTACAAGTATTATTTGACATTTTACAAGTATTATTTGACATTTTGCAAGTATTATTTGACATTTTACGAGTATGATTTGACTGTTTTCCAGTATTATTTTATATTTTACAAGTATTATTTGACATTTTGCAAGTATTATTTTACATTTTACAAGACTTAGTATGATTTGACTGTTTTCCAGTATTATTTCATATTTTACAATATTATTTGACATTTTACAAGTATTATTTGACATTTTTGGAAATAAATATATCTTTAGATCATGCACAATGAGATGTTATTGAAAAAACATTGATATGAAAAAATAATTTATGGGAAGATATTCTTCTTAAAAAAATTATTGAATGGGGTTCCAGACTGGCTTCCACCATATTAAGGCTTTAAGTTGCAGAATCAATGGGAGATGTTTTTTGAATTGTTGAATTGTTGATTAAAATGCACATTTTGAGACTGGATTGTCACTTTGACAAATTAATGGGTGCTATGTCTCACCATGAAGTCAGAGGTTGAGAGAGGCTTGAGATCCACTGTGCTAAAAATGTATTTTCATGTAGGGTGAAAAAAGTAATTTGTATGATGCAGACATTATCGATCACAGTTAGGCTGTTTCTCTAGCTGAAATCTGTCGTGTTCTTTTAGAGATGGGGAGAGTCTTGGTTGGACGCTAAGCGGGTCATTTGGCCCCTGGGGTAGGAGTAATTAGACTCAAGTAATGGAGTATGAAATACCCATGACTCCATATCGCTATATTGATTGGCTGCTGTGGCGAGGTAATGACGGTCCGCGAGGAGACGAAGGGGAAAGGTGTGTTAGGATGCTTCTGGTCATTTACCTATCAAGCAATGGGAAATCCTATTGTGGTCATACCTAGTGCTGAAGTAGCATGTTGTTTTGATTGCGCGCTTGGCACGGGGGCGTTTCGGGATAGTTTTAATGAGGTCGGAGTGAACATGCTGAACCAGTGAGGAGAATATTGAATGAGTTCCTTGGTAGCTAGACTCCGGCATAATTGTGTGATCAAATCGGGAATTAGGTGAGGATTTGGAAGGGAGGTCAGTTGAAAAAGACATCCATTTGACCAGCGTTTTCTCGTGAGTCGGTGATGAAGATGTCAGCTGTGTGTTCGTGGTGACAGGTAGGCTAATGTAATAGACAGGCTTGTTAATTTTACCACCATCTCAGGTAGGACAGGTGAATCTCGTTGGTGTGTCGGAATGTGAAGTGTGCAAACAGGCAAGTTTATATACACAGCTTCTTGCATAACACGTCATGTACGCGCTGTAGGCCAGTTTTAGAGTTTTTTTCGACATCAAGTGGTTTAATTCACTGATATTTATTTGGCTTGTGACTAATACTTGTTAATATCTGGAGATATTTTAGTAGACTAGGTTATATCCTTTTGACGTTGTGATGAATTTATCTAGTGTGTTCATTGTAACAAATATTATATTTTGAATAATACTTTATTAAATATAACAGTTGTTACATTTAACCACTTTCTAAATGGCACTGTGTGTTGATTGTTCTGTATATTGCTGGCCACTTGTCTGATGTGATCATGTGTTTGGATGATGTATGATTGATGGTGAAGTTGGTCACAAACCACCTTGTCTTCACACGAGCTATGCAGACAATCTGTGTCTCCCTGCCATAGCCCTGCAGTTATTAGTGTTGTTTATAACTACAGTTTATTTTTAACTGAGATATTTTAGGCAGGGCTGCTTCCTCCCAGACTCGTATTAATGGGCAATGTTATACACTGTGACCTTATCCAAGAGCTCTGCTGTTCTGACAACTCACATCAACATCATATTTACAGTGCCTCCACCTCCCCCATAGTGTAGGATTGGGCATAGAGAAATTAAAGTAGGCCAGTCCAATTTGGTTTCCCGTTTTAGCAATTTTCTAGACCGATGTGCCTCCATGGGGTAGGCCACAAATATGTCCACGTAAAAATGTGAATTGTTACAAGATTAAGAATCATCTCAAATAGGAAATGGGAGCTTATTAAAGATCACGTTAGACCGTTGACGATAGGGGCAGGCGACGTACACCTACAACACAAACAAAACTGATGCATGGCAGGAAAATTTGTTTATAAACTATGAATTTGATTCACTTCAATAATATTTTTCTAAATATTTATCTTGAATTAAAGTTCAAACAAAAATGTCAAAAGCAGCAGTTTGAAATTAGTCTGTTTCACATTTTCAAAATATGTTGGTGTAAAAATTAGCTACTAACAGACGTTATCTGTATTCCATGTGGAGAACTTAGGTTGCTGAGATAGCTGGTTTCCATGTTTACTATTTCTTAGAAGATAATAGCTACGGTTTCTGTTTCTATCAGCCTTATAACACTCATCTGCCATATGGATAATAGATAGTCAGTGGATACAGAACTCACAGACTTGTACCTTCACATAAATGTTCAAAGAAAAAATATTGTGTCTCACACGCACATGTAATAAACAAGAGGGTTTAGACAGGACATGCTTACTCTTTTCACAAACACCTGGTGTCGTCACTGATTTTAAGTGATCCATTTATATTATTATCATCACAATATTTCTTTTTACACCCAATGGAATCTGTTTTGGAGAATTATCGAGACCGATTATTCTCTGGCATTGACGTTTTATATTTACAATTTACATGGGGGTTTGGGAGTGTAATGACGACATTGTGTGCTATATTTGTGCAGACCTCCACTGTAATCAGTGACCTTAGACTGTCGTCATTCACTCTGTATGACAGGTGAAATGGAGTACTCGTAGTATTGATATTTACTATTGTCTACAACCAGCCTCTTGACACGGACTATTACTTCATCTGCGTCATTCAGCGTCAGTCTCAGCAAATATAGATTATTTGGATCAATTATTTTCAAGGGGTATTTGTTCCCTAACTACTGTTTCTATCTATGGACTTGCATCAGACCTTCTAGCGAACACAACCTTGCTAATTATAGCTGAATTATGAATGAGTTTCTGTGGAATCTAGGGGAATCCCTCACTACACAATAAATGCTTATTGGTTGGCGATGCACTTGGGTAGTTCTGATTTCAAGGGTCAGACGATCAGCCATTACTTACAGCTGACAACTGTTCTAGACAATGTGATGTGTCAATATCGGTATGTTCAGGTGTTGATGTCACACATACAGGTGATTTGTGATTGTCAGCTTTACCTGTATCCATAGACTGTCTGTCAATGGGGTATTTCTCTGATGAAATAATTATGTTCAGCAGGCATTTGTAATATATAGTGAAGGTAGAGGGTTCGCGGGTGTCAGTGTGTTCACACTCAGTTGATGGCAGTCCCTTTGTGACAGGGTACTTGAGGTAGCCATTAGTCTCATGTCAGTTGTGGCATTTGATATGGTGTAGTTTATGTTGAGTGTTGTATTTTGGTATGCTGTGTGCATTCATTATCTTATTCTTATTGTTTCCCTGACTTGATTTGAAAATCTCCACATGACTACTTCACGTTCAGAAATAGTTGTAGTGGCTGTATTGTAGGTTGTATTGGGAATTTAAAATTTCAACATTCATCATTGATTTGAAGAAATAATTCATGATTAATTATTGATCGCTCATAAATGAGAAAATAAACAATTTGACATTAAGGGCATTCTTTAGATATTTTATGTTTAGGGCTATAAATGAAATAACAAAGTTTCCAATGATATTTTATGATACTCTGCAAATACAAAACTCTATTTGGAAAAAAACCACAGGAGCAGTTTTAAAACCAGTGCAGGATTTGTATGATTTAAGCCGACTTGAATATCCTCGCAATTAGCTCATGTAACTGGAAAATAATTAAAGCCAATTGCTAATCACTAATTTCTTCATTGAAGATGCATCCTCCAAAACGATTAAACTCTGACTTTAAGCCGACAGCTCTGAGTAATCCATGGTGTTTTCTTTAATCATAGTTCTTGTAATGTTTTAACCCTGCTAACTTACAAAAGTGATCAAAAGTGTTTTCTTCATTTCTTCTAAGATAGTGTGAAGAATACGACCTTGGGTTGAGTTGTGAGTTTGTTTTCAGGTGCTGAGTGTTGTTTGAGAGGCACCTGCTCCTCATGGAGGTGCTGGCATCTGAATGTGACCCTGTTGTTCACACCTCTCTCTTGGTTTCAGAGTTGACAGCAGACTCGACTGAGGTACCAGTGCCAAGTCCATCACTTTTTTCTCCTTCCCGGTTCCACGTACGGCATAATATTGGCTCAATCAACCAAATCTCCTACTTCCAGCATGGGGCGCAAAAAAATCCAGATCTCGCGAATAGGCGATGAACGCAATCGTCAGGTATGTGTCATTTGATTTTTATGTTCTTCATCCTCTTTTTGTCGGTGACTTATTATTTATAAAGATTCTACCTGAATAGTCTTCGAAGAGTATAAGAAAGAGAACAACGTGTCATCTCAAAGCTGATGCATCGTGGCAAAGAATATTAAATGGCTCCCTTCAGCGAGTATGGGCCTAGAAGTGCATGACACTCGGAATATGTGAGCAAGGCATTTGCTTGTCGGTTAAAAAACATACATGCCTCCATTATGTATGTGATGTTGCCGATCCAAGCTCACATCTGTGTAAAAAACTCATAACATTTACACATGCACATATGATTAAAACAAGCAGGATTTGTTTAAACTGTAGGTAGTTAACAGCACAAGTGGTCCTGCCACAATACAAGTTCATGTGTTAGGCCGAGTCCATCCATTCTGTGTCCTGTTTACATTCCTGTTGCGATGTCGAAAAACTACTTTATTAATCTTCGCTAAAATGTAATACATTATTCTCTCGGAGAGATTCAACACAGACAGCATACCACTACTTAGTTCATTGATTATATAGCGGAATTAAATAATATAATGTTTTTGTTAACAGGAATAAATGGCTTCATGTTGAATGGTACTAGCTTGCCATGTCAGTAGTGATCATTAGACTTAAGTTATTGCTTCCAGACTAGTTATATGTGCATGTCTGGTTGTGTGAGTTCAACAGGGTGTTAAATGTTCATGACTGGCATCACTAGGCTCTCCTCACACATTGAGCTGACACATATAGCTGAAGTAATGTTGAAGGCAGTGTTAAACCCAGCTCACTCACTCACTCACTCACTCACACATTGAGCTGACACATATAGCTGAAGTAATGTTGAAGGCAGTGTTAAACTCAGCTCACTCACTCACTCACTCACTCACACATTGAGCTGACACATATAGCTGAAGTAATAGTGAAGGCAGTGTTAAACTCAGCTCACTCACTCACTCACACATTGAGCTGACACATATAGCTGAAGTAATAGTGAAGGCAGTGTTAAACTCAGCTCACTCACTCACTCACTCACACACTCAGTGTTATGTGATGTAGTGTACATTTAGTGCAGACATACACCCACATGGCCTGTGTGTTAACATTAGGAAAGATTAAACGGCTGTAATGAGACGGCAGCTCATGGCAATGGGTCTATTATGTTTGTGGGCATAACATGTCAAAAAGGTTATGATTCAAGGCACATGCACACACGTTATGATGGAGAGTGTGGATTAGGTAACACTGATGCAATGTTACCAGGGATAGTTATGGCGCTGTGACTATACGCCATATGTAAATAGCCCATGATGAAGGGTATAAACACAGTACTTGGCACTGCTTAACAGAAGCAGAGGTAGAAGAGAGAGGCCAATTGTTGTACTACATGTCGAAAATGATTAAAACCCACGATAAGGTATTACTGGCTGTTGTTGATAACTGTGACCAACTGGCTGGTTCACAAGAGATTGTCTCACAGTCTGTTTGAACAAACCCCTCTAACCCAGTGGGAACTAGCCAAGAGAAAACAATATTATGGGTGATTCTAGGCCTCTGAGTCAATATATGAAGTGTTTTACAGATGCTGGTATAGGGACGTTTGTACAGCTACATACTGACAATTTGTGAGCCACTTAAATCTCCGGCATTGGGCTGTTTGGTTTGATGATGTTCTTCTAAACCCGAAACGGGTTGATGTTCAAACAAACGAGGTGACTTAACAGTTTAGGAGGAACAATCACCAGTGTGTTAACATTAGTAACGGAATTGTAAGACTAGTTCCGGCTTGTAGTAGTTGTAGCTGGGACAACTGGGGTTTGTTAAGGTCAATAAGTAAATATGAGGAGGGTGGATGTAAGTATTTAGTTCACTATCTTATGTTAGGTTGGTATGCATTAATTTTTCTGATTTTTTTTGTACTGTAAATATAAACGTGTGTGATAGGAAAATTGTGTCTTGGAAAGTTTGGAATTGGAATGAAATCCAACTAGGAACCTTGTTGTATAAGAAGTGAAGTTCATGTAGATCAATGCTAGAATGGTGGTTGAGGGATAGATCTAATCTGGTGAACGACTGGCCCGGCAAGTTCCCAGTGGTTGAACACGGTAACACTGTTGTGGAGGACTGGGAATAAATACCCTGCACCGGCATGGAGCCACTGGTTTGATTTTGTGCCAATCATATTGGTGGGAAATGGAGTAGAACTGACTGGGGCAAGATTGATAGTTTCTAATTAGTGGAGGTACGTTGTGGGGATACATAGGCCAGGCTGCGAGCTGTTGGAGGGACGGGGGCTTATGAATAACCCCTACCCACACCCAGACGTCTATAGACTTGCTCCAAAATAACATTGTTACTTGCCAAGACCGCGAGGCATTCAACACCGAAGTTAACAAAATTATTTTTGAACTGAAAATGAAGGATGTTTGATTTTTTATGTGTAGATTGACAACTTTATGTAAGTAAACTGAAATGTTTGAAATGTATTTCCCACAACTTTAAATTAAAATTTAAATTAAGATTGTTTACAGAAATTTGCATGTGTCTGCTTATAAAATATTAAGATTCATGTGAAATTCTCTTGAACAGAATTTAGGTGAGTCAGGAAAATATACTTGTTTTGTCTTAGAACACACGTTATTTCACGTTTTTAGTTAGAAACGTAGGTTCCTTTGTAAAAGTTAGCTACTAACAGACATTATCAATATTCCGTGTGGAGAACATTAGTTGCTGAGGTAGCTAGTTCCCATGTTTACCATTTCCTAGGAGATAATCGCTACGATTTCTGTTTTCTTTCAACCTGAGACAACAGCATTCTGTTCGCCAGTGGTCGTTTGTCTCCCTGAATTCAAGTCATCTTCCTCCCTCCAGGAGTAGACAAAGCATTGACATCAAAATTACAGATATTAAGTAGGTAAATAGCAAATAGAGGGCCCAGCGGTCTTGTTGACAGTGAATCCATTCCAACAAACAAGAAGGTCTTGAACTCGCAACATTAACCTTTTTTTCTCAGGACGTTTACAAATTGCCCAGTGGTCAGTTGTGTCCAGCCATTGTACTCGTCAGGCTCCACCTGGATGTAACGATCTGTATTTACCTGACAAACAGGTGAAAATCTCTGACATGCTCTACATTGTGTGGTTGGAATTGTGGCAAACCGCCCCTAGCCATGGTTGTTTGGGTGTGAGACTGGAATGAGTCACATTTAGTCGTGTACCTTTGGAGTAACCTCGGAGCTAGCATTGCTCCAAGGCTGTACTGAAAGAAAAGTGCATGGATGTGCAGTAATTCTACCCTCCTAATAGGCAAGTCTAGATCTATGGACCAGTCTCTCATAAGAACAACTTGTTCTTATTATTTACAAAATCTAGAAAGTATGATTAAAACTAATAATTATGCCTTAGTGACTTGTGCAAGTCTACATTGGAGCCGGCGCACAGTGAGGTGGCCATTACACACCAGCAAACTTGCAGATTATTAAAACTGAAAGGGTATAAATAGAATATAATGCCTCTAATATTACATTGTTAGATAAAGTGACACATACCTCCTACTGGTCATAGTTATCAATGAGGGGAAGGTAGGATGTTTGAATCACCACAGAGGCGACAGTATAGACAATAATAGCACAGTGTGCTAGAACTCTCCACACTCAGTACTGACAGATTGATACACAGTAATGCTTTTATCAATATGTAGGTGTCATTTTACATCTAATTATTCTTAAAACTTTATGATCGTTTTCCATAATGATGAAAAGGAAATTAATAGTATAGGTATTGTGTAACAATATTACATATCAGACGATTAATGGCTTCCTTGAGATAAGTTGTAGCTTAGTCCCTGCTGTGAGGAATATGTCGGTTGTACAGAGAGTTAGCTATGGCTGTAGATCAGTGACATATCAAGTACAACCGTGATGTCATTCCGATGGAAAAAACAAACCGATTACTCTCAAATATGTTTGAAAAGATTTTCTGAAATTGAAGAATGTCTTAATTTGAAGGATTATATGGGAAAATGCCACCCATGCTAAGTGTTTGTTTAGACAGAATCCAATTGCTGGATTATCTACGTTAATGATCCATGTAGGCATGTAATACGACTCTTTGGTGGCCTGGGATGACCGGTCTTCCCCACAGGCACATCTGCCCACCATATCACAGATGACTGTAGTGTGGCTGGGACCTCCCCACAGCGGGAATAAATCTCTATAATCCTTCTCCAATGGTGCAATACAGCCAGACAGATTTCATTGCATGTAGCCATGGTGTAACATGTTCTCTTTTGTCAAGAGGTTTTTGTCTGTGGTGGTGTCCAGCGTGCGTCATGATGGCCCCGAGTATTGTGATTAGTTCGGCCTCCTTGGGCACTGATACCTATGCGATTTGTCACTCACCGCAGCAGAAATCTCATAATAGGTTAAGTGGACTGTATGAATCCAGGTTCCTTCTCCTCGGCCGTTTTGTCCAACCTCGGGGAGTTTTCGAAGAAAACACACATCGTTAAGGATATATTGGCAATTTATTGTAATTGAAACTGGAGTATATTGACCCCTAGTCGTCCTGTCCAGTTAACCTTACCAGGACATGCCCGAGAGGTAGTGTTTTGTCAGTAGCTGCCGAACCATACCTGTTGTGTCTCTGGTTCTTCCCCTCGATGGGGATGAGGAGAGTGGGGTTATATAAGGGTTGTTCTGGGAAGAAAGGCTTTGTTCGAAGATGACCAGATTTCTGAAACATTGTAGTTAAACTGGGAGGTATTCTGTTGAAACCAGTAGAAAAACATCCTAGTTTGGCTTGGTCTGTGAGTAAAGAGTTCTAGTTACCTACCACACAAATATTTATACAGGTGAAACATTGAATGTGAGATAGTTACTGTGTTTAATGCTTGAGAAAAGATATCAACAAACCTATTTTTCAGGTAATGTTTGGAATTTTTATCTTTCAAGGTTGAAAATGACATTAAGAATAGAACATCATGCAAAAAACATGATAGGGTCATGATTCATTAATGAAAGATCATTACAAATGTATATTGAAAAAATAACTGTGCAAGAGGCTTCAGGATTGTTACAATGTTCCAATGTCCTGACAATTAATTACTAATATCCTCACAAGGAAGAAAGGTCTTATTCCATGATGGTTCATAGAATGTGACCTTTGACCTAGGATATGCAATCGTCTAGACAGATGGTGTTGAATACAATGAAACATGGACACACCTGTCTTTCACAAGAGAATATGTTTTGATGGCATTGCCTTTAATCAAAATGATTCCTCAAAATTGGCTTCTTGATTTAAGTTGTCTGATTAAACACTGATTGGATGTCATTAGTGATGGCCCAAACAATACTCCTTGCCCCATCTTTTGTAATGTTTGTTGTTATTGGTCACCTGGCCTTATTACAGCCAATGAAAAGGGAGACAATGTGAAATGTGGGATTTGATTGGCTGGGGTATTTTGAGAGGTGCATCTGTCGGAATTGTCGGGTATTATGCAATAGTTTGAAGAAGTGCTACTTAGGCAGACAATGGCTATTCAAGTGATTCCGTTAATACTTCTTGATAGCGGCCTCATCAGAAGTGCAGAGAATTAAACATGATTGTTGGTGTTTAATCTGTGTCATTGTGTAACGCATCTGGCTCAGAACTTGTGCAGAGATTTACAAACAAGTCTGTGAATGTTAGTCTTAGGTCATAGCAAAACTTAAATGTTTCCAAGGATTTTTCTCAAAAGTGAGAAGGGAGTAGAGCCTGCTTTATGTGATATCGAAAACCATGATGAGGCGAGAACACTCCCCTAATGCAACCAACAAACTCAGCCGGGCACATGTTGGACATGGCTCTTTAATACACACGTTTTATGTTCATGGATAATAGTCCCTATATGGCTGAAATAATGCTGATGTGATATTAAATGTTAACTCATTCACTCATGGATAATAGATTCTGCTTGATATGACACAGGATATCTGAGAAATATATATGTACTGGCAATAGAATGACTGACAAGTAGGATTAAAGTGAGGTGTCAGTGCCAGAGAAACAGCTCCCTTTTTGTTAGCCCTATAAAATCAGAATACCTGGAATTTCTGGATAGATGGCATTTTGTTCCAACCATGTCATGGCAGTTTGAGATTTGTAGGTAACAATTTAAACTAAATGTTAGTTTGTCTGCATTTAGTAAGAGTCTTCATAGGTGTGATGGTTTCACTAGCTGAGGCTTGGTGAAGCTATGACACCTGGTGCTGCCGATGTAGTTCTTCATTTCATGTGCCTGCTTACAGTGCTAGATGACGGATGACCTTGTTGGCTGAAACGTTAAACAGTTTTATATTTAAGTGTCCTTCAGTGTCTTTTTCTCCTGGAATTAGTTGAGTTCAGACAATTATCTATTTCATGTGTTTGAAACATCATCCTCACATGTTTGATGTGAGGTAACAAGATGGATTGGGTAGTCAGGCTTGACCTTAACCCCAACACGTGCGACTTCACTTGTAACATCAATCACTGGTTTGTCTGGTTCTGACATGAATATTTACTGCCACCTTGATAAACAAGCACCATTATCATCATCATTTTAAGTTTATGATATTCATATTTTGAATCTTTTTTCACAGGTTACATTCACCAAACGAAAGTTTGGATTGATGAAGAAAGCTTACGAGCTAAGCGTGTTATGCGACTGCGAGATTGCTCTCATCATCTTCAATGGCTCTAACAAGCTGTTCCAGTATGCCAGCACCGACATGGACAAGGTCCTTCTGAAATACACCGAGTATAATGAACCCCACGAGAGCCGCACAAACAAGGACATCATTGAGGTGAGTGGGGGAGGAACGAGGGGTCGCCACCAGCACCAAGGCAACAGTCATGTCATCACAGCACTTACATAGAGACATTTCAATGTTAGCTTTTTTTGGATCTGAGGGGGAAGTTGGGGAGACATGTTTGTTTCGATATTTGTGACGTAGTTGACAACTTGATCCGAGATGGCACAGTTTCACATAAAAGGTATTCTTGTGTTAGTTCGTGGAAAACATATTGAAGTGCTTTATGTTGACACAGCATACATTGTTTGCCTTTGGAACACAACTTATTATCCTGTTATTGCCGAATGATAATGAAATATTGTTTTTCCATGGCACTGTGTTGTATCTAGTGATATTTTGGGGTGAAATTTGAATTTACCGATGAAGTGACTTCTACATTTAGTACATTAGCGCTGTGAGCATTCCGTTATGTGAGGCGCTGTCTCTGTAGTGAAACATCCTCGGTTCAGGAAGCACATACTCTTATGTGAGGAGGCAATTCCATTGAGAAATGTTGCCATTGTAGGAAGCATTTGGCTTTGTGATGATGCAGGTCTATTGAGAATATTGTCATTAATCGAACATATGTTTACGGGGTGCAGCTATTTGGAGCACAAGTTCATGTGATACCCATGTGGTCGTTTGAGCAAGCTATTTTATCTCACAAGTCTGTAGTTGACTAAAACTAAAAGTCTAACATGACCTGTCCAAGCCCATCATGCGACTATGGTTGGCAAGAAAATGTTTGCAGCAATAAGATTGACCTGATATCAGGTACATTGTATTGAGAATGATTGTGGTAATATTTTGATGACTATTGTGCAATTAATAAGGATGTTTACTTTCCATGATCCCAATCTAACTCTCAGTCAGCGATTGAAGAATATTACAGAGTCACCTGGGGTTTACAATTGCCTGAAATGAACAACTGAAATGCAATATTGGAAAATGAAATATGATATTCAAAATCATGTAATGAATACAGTCGGTTGTGACAGGTTTACATTTCTTTTCATGGACAAGTATGTTTTAACAATTACTGTGTGTTAATTCGTTTTCTAACAAGCTGGTGTTGACATTCTCACTGTAGATATACTGCTTAAGTTTGATTGGAATAATTCTATTCCCCAAACTGATTACTTGTAATGTGTGTAAATAGTATTGAAGATCTGAATGTCCCAATCAAGATTTGAGTAACATATATGCCATATGTGTCAGCAAGATCATGTCAAATTATTTCAAACCTAAGCTAAAACAGGTTCCTTCTTTGTATTCACAGTAGAAACATGGCCTTGAAGCGGTGTTCTGATTTCTTTACAAAAATTTAGAAGAAAATAATTGGTAGTCACCCCATTACCTTCTTTTTCATCATAGTGTATATCTAATGAAGGCATTCGACTCAGTTTTATCTTAGCGGCCTGCGCCGAGACTAAACAAACTGCAATTCTTTAACAGAAATTAACAAAGCTACATTAAGAAACCCAAGAAAAGTGATGTTTCCAAGAATTTCTGCCTCTACGGCTGAATAAGTTCTGCCATATTGGCAACAAACCCTCGTGTGTCTGCAACTTGAAGTTAGACATAGTCTCGCGTTCATTCAAGGTGTGTGTGTGTGTGTGTGTGTGTGTGTGTGTGTGTGTGTGTGTTGTGTGTGTGTGTGTGTGTGTGTGTGTTGTGTGTGTGTGTGTGTTGTGTGTGTGTGTGTGTGTGTGTGTGTGTGTGTGTGTGTGTGTGTGTTGTGTGTGTGTGTGTGTGTTGTGTGTGTGTGTGTGTGTGTGTGTGTGTGTGTGTGTGTGTTGTGTGTGTGTGTGTGTGTGTGTGTGTGTGTGTGTGTGTGTGTGTGAGTGTGTGTGTGTGTGTGTGTGTGTGTGTGTGTGTGTGTTAAAGAATACCAGATTTTTTCTGCCATGAAAAACAAGAACATATCGATTGCACTTTTCTAAACTAAGATTAAGTAACCATAAATTAACTATAGTACTTGTAAGACATACAAAGCCACTGACCCCACTACATCAGAGACTATGCTATAAATGTTCACCCATTGATGATGAAAAACACTACCTACGTCACTGTACCAAACCACTTCAAGAAAGAAATATACTCTTTGGAAAGTTATCTACACAAGATGTAAATGTCCACAATAAAGAAAACAAATTATTTTGCAACATCTTCTCAAATAAGGAAGCCATCAACATCAATTACATATCTGTAATTTGCAGCAATAACTACCTATTGATTTTAATCAACCTATGACATTCCATGTATAATATCATCAAATCTGTTGATATTTTCTTTAAATGATTTCTTTGTATACAGATATGTTTGTCTGTATATGTGTATGTGTAAAGTCATGGTTTTTCATTTAAATATTGCATCTGTTCCGTAATGGAATGTTTTCTGCAATGATTATTATCTTGTCTTATCTTATGAAAACATTGGGTGTTCTTTGACTTGCCTTGTGTAGTTTATAATCTCTATATATACATCATACACACACAAAACAAGTTAAAGAACACAATGTTGTATTATCTATAGGATAAGATAAGATAGTATATATTGCAGGAAGCATTCCATTATGGAACAGGTGCGATCTTTTAAATGACAAAACATACATACATTCATGTAAACAAAGAAGTCATTTAAAGAAAATATCACTATTAAAGATTTGATGATATTATGCATATATATTCATATACCTTTGTATAGGTATATTCATATACCTTTGTATAGGTACCTATATACACACACCCACAGTACCACATGCAGACTGAGCACGGCTGTGATCTCCTGCTGGTGGGCAGTGGGTACAGTACATACATAGAGCTCCCATCTCCCAGGTCGACTCAGCCATCCAAGCATGGGCTAAACTGTAGAAACATGGCTACTAGCAAGGAGGAGGCCGTGGAGAGGGATGGACGACACCGCCGGCATATTGTGTGTTTGAATGGAGGGTTGTTATTGAGATGAGATATCTTTTGTGAGCTGTTTACACAGCGATACCAGGATATACTACATCAATGTAGTTGATAAAGATCTCCCTGCGTTTTCAAAGGGGCTGAATACATTCAGTGACATGCTGTGTCAGTGCGTGTAGTTTTTATAAGCTTATGTGTTTTTATTTTCGATATGTCAGATACTGTTGAGGTTACGGAGTGCATGACTGACAGTGATTTGAAAGCACAGGTGAATTTGTTTTTAGGTAGGAGGTGATATAATAGATGTTCTTATCATATGAGAAAATCTGATCATTTCATATAATGGAGATGTGTTATTTTTAAAAAATCTCAGTCTTGTATTTCTTGTTAAAAGTTTTAAGCAGGATTTCATAGTGATAAGGCGTCACTCTGAGGTTATTGCATGGTAACTATCAATTATAAAGATGGAAATTCAGATGGTGACAAACTGTATCAAAGGGAGGTGACTCTTGTCAACCAAGTGTGCCAAGAATCCTGTTTGTTTCTGAAACAGATGGGTCTGTCTCGTACTGTGCCATGACAGTAGGATATATGTACTTTATGAAACCAAAACCAGTCTAGTCTTGGAATGGCATTTAGAAGTGATACACATGAGGGAGAATTTATGGCTGTCAACTTCTTTATTATAAGTAGGAGTATGTACTTACTCCTTCAAGTGAATGATTCGCCTGATGGAGAGTAGGCATATGCTCCGAACATTGTGTTCCTCATAATAAAGACGTTGACATCCATAAATACCAATCTAGATTATACAAAAAGCAAGTCTAGCTGGCTCTATTCAACATGTGAAATCCGGGTTAGCAAAATAAATATAGGAGAGAAATATATTGTGTAATGAAAGATTTGATAGATTATGTGTTAGTCTTGGGGCGTTCCTTCACCGTATTTAAACCATTCTGATGACGTCATTCTATTGTTGTTGCAGTTGATTCCGAGCCAGGAATTTACTGGCCATTTTGAATGTGCAATTTAACAAATAAAACTGATAAAACTATAGGTCATTACGCAAAATATAATTTCGAGAAATTAAATTTCAACCATTACATGGTATGGTTCAGAGAAATTACTTCGGGGCTTGTTGAATCTACTTCTGATTCAAGTGATTTCTCCATTATATGTAAAATACATGAAATAAGATGTTGGAGCTTGGCACCCTCCCCCTGTAGCCCCTCAAGTATTGAATCTTCATCCTAGCAGCATCTCTAGCAGCATCGTTCCCCACAGCCGAGCTGTTTGTTTACAACCTCCAGCCCATAAATGGATAATTAGGTCACAGAGGTAGATAGACAGATGAGAAGAGGATGCCTTGGTGGGGAGAAGCAACACGATCTTGTCAGTTAGATTCGCTCAACCAATATCCAACGCATGTTTTGGCAGCCATTTTCTTGTAGGATAGAAAGAAAAATCTTAATTGATTTGAATTTTCGTTTTTTAGAACAAATGCTTCTAGACATATGCATCAATGAAGGTGCCTTTTTCCATAATTACGTTGTTGAATGTGGAGGAAAGATACTGGAGCAATAGGTTGATTTGACCGTTGACATGCCCTGTGGAATCAGTACCTACCATACACAGCACTAACATGCCTGTACTGTAGTGTAGCGGGCGATCACTGTCGATACGTCAGTACCTTACAGAACAAGGGACTGTAATCTACGTAATTAGTGGCTTCACACTCAGAGGCTGCGGAGTGATGGCTGGGATAGCTTCCAGGATTCAGGTGCTCTACTTAACCTGCTTACCATCGATGCCATCCCAGAATTCATTCTTGACTCATAAACAAATGTTTTCGCACTTTGGATGGTAACATTGTCCAAAGTGTATCAATCAAACAAACTTTAGTTTTAGTTATGTTAAATACTTAAAATACTAATTGTTTGACACAACAGAAATCTTCATTTTTGAAATTCAACAAAGATGTCAAATCTTTTAACATTTTTGATGATAACATAATATTGTCCAAATTTATTAAACAAACCAATTTCTGAACTTCAGTTTTTATGTTATACTGAACATATGATTTGTGGCACAAAAGTAATCTTCCTTTTCATATCTGAACAGTTAATTTGAAAGTACTCTGACAAACGTTTGGATGAGTACGCGGGTAGGGGTGGGTACACAGAGTGCAGTTCAGGTTCTTGTCTATCTCCTGTGTCTGATTGGACTGCCTCCGTGGTAGAAAGTGTCTGGCCAGAGAGTTGGGAGGGCAATGGTTGGATCCACAGCCGGGTCATTCCAAAAGATGTTAAAAGATGGTACTTATTGTTTCCCTGACTGGCTTTTGGCGTTAAGGGGATATAAACAAGGATTGGTCGGTTTGGAGTCAGAATGCTGTGTCTGAGTGGGGTGTCCATGTTAAAACTGCATCATTGAATCTCAGTGGACTAGCATTAAAAGACCGGCATTAGTTTGGACTAATACATGCAGCCGCATGCGCGCGCACGCACACACATCACTTTTAAAATGCAATAATCTTGAAAGTGACTTTAAATCCGAAATCACCACACATCTGTGCCTCATTAACGGAGTAGAAGTGATGTATCAACTTATCAACTTGGACTTCGATAAGTTGCTACCAAACAGTCTTAGAGTTCGAGAGTTATATTGTCCACATGTGTTGCTCTTGGTACATTTGTATATGTTTTGGCATGATATGAAATGTAATATATTACGTTGTCAGTCAAGGGATTCATTGGATATCTTACCTTGACAATCAAGGTATGGAAATAATATCTTGCTCTAAGGGAAATGAAAAATCTTTGTCATTGTTAATAGTTATTTAAATATACTTTCATACATATTTCTAAAGAAAAGTTGCTATGTGACTGAAAGCATAACCAACACTGAGGATAAAAATATATAATAAGTTACACAAATTCATCAAATTCATCAGTACTAATGTACCGCTCTGTTAATGCAACCTCCAAATGAGCAAATCCCAGTCTGAATGAACTCCATAGAAAGTAGGTCTATATCGTTGCCTCCCCTCTGAAGACTTACACAGCACTTATCAGCAACACAAGGCCGCACAGACATGGTCAGAAATTAAGAAGGTCTTTCCCTGTCTGTGATAGCATTAGCTGGGCTTCGTTTATCAGAATATTGAAGTTGACAAGCTGTATGCTGGGATATTATTCCATAATGTCCCATAATAGCTTAATCTCCATTCATAAATCAGGTTTCTGGGCTTGGCCCCCGAACAGGAATATCCAGGTTACAGTAGATACTAATGATGGGGGAAATTAATTACCTGTAATGAATCTATTTTAGAGGGTGTGTGGGTAGCTGGTGATCGGACCAAATCCAGTCTTACCTTTGATAAGTCGATCATGTTTCTCGGGGGCTGGTTATGCCACAGTTGAACAACTGGTGTAAAGTCCTCATGGTAGGAAAGAAGTCTGTCTAGGTTACATGCATGTTATTCCTTGAAGATTGTCAAAGTGTTTGTGGGATTGGGCGGGCGCATACTTGTTCTTAGTATGGCTAATGTTTATGGGCTTAATAATAGCATCAGTAGTTTTTGGTGCTTCTAAATGAAACCAAGATATTCCAGTTGACAAAAATAACCCAGACTATTTTATATATAACCTCGGCCGAATTGCCGGAATGGCTGGTTGTGTGAGCCGGTGTACTCTGTTTCAAGCATATAGCTTTTGGTGGGGAATGTCATGATAAGATATCGATCCAGTTACCTAAAATAGTCACAGCCGAGGCACCACACTATAAATAGGCAGTCGCAGTACCGAAATAACTCAAGTGTGAGTCAAATACTTTACAACCAGGACTTTGTGATATAGAATATACCTCCCCGGAACACAGTGACCCACATTCAGACAGCCTGCCCACAATTCAGAAGAGGCAGTAGTGCCACACTGAATATGCTCCCTGGAGGCAGGCAATCAACCCATTATCTGACTGGCTCAGAAATATTGAAAATTCACTCCGACCTTTATGCGGAAAGATCTTTCAGGAGATATTTGTGTAAATTGCTTCGAATGTGGACTTGGCAAGTGCTTGTTAAGCTTTTAGGGAAAGTTATCGAGTTGATCAGAATAAGTGAGATGGTGGGAGCGATTCTTCACCTGAATTAACACAAGCCGAGCCTGGAGTGACATGCTTATTTGAAGTTGGAGTCAGCTTAGTGACCACATTTATTGCTGAAAGAGGAGAAATAAAGTCAGTAAAAAGGAGGGATTACTTGTCTTAAGGTCCCCTTTGAAGACATTGGATAAATGAAATAAATTTGGTGTGGTGTCACCTGTAGGAGTAGTGGAAGTTGATGCTGGGGAGGGAAACATGGGGAGAGGGGGTTGTTCATGTGTCTAAGGACATTGTTATAAATCTGTGTACTTTGTTATAAGTCTAAGGACTTTGTTATAAATCTAATGACATTGTTATTAGTGTAAAGACTTTGTTATAAATCTAAGGACATTGTTATAAATCTCAGAACTTTGTTATAGTGTTATAAATCTAAGGGTATTGTTATAAATCTATGGACATTGTTGTAACTCTAAGGACTTTCGTATAAATCTAAGGACATTGTTATACATCTGTATATCTAAGGACATTGGTTGAATTGACATTGGTTAAATTTGCTGCAAATTGTAGCTTTGTAACACTCATGAAAATATAGACAAAGATAGTTTATATTATACAATACAAACATATAATGACTTTGTGATTTTCTTGATCTTATGCTGAAAACCATATTTGAAGCTCAAGAAGATTTTATCAGATAAATACATTATCATACAAGCAGTATGTAATCACTATTTACATCATTAATCAGTATATTTGCTGCAGGGGACATTACTTGTCAAATATTTTAACTCAATATTATTCATTCAAATCACACAAGTGTTGAACAATATTCCCTCAGTACTTGTTTGTTGCAGGCTCTCAACAAGAAGGAACACAAGGGTTGCGAGAGCCCGGAGCCCATTGAGCAGGACCCCTACGCCCAGGGCCTGCGTGGAGACGACAAATACGACCGCATCAACGACGACTACCAACGTGTCATGCAGCAGAACGTCATGAGGGTCAGTGTTACAGGGTGATACTATTTGGGGTACAACAAAGTATATAATGTTCGTCATAGAAACAATATCAAAACGTGTCAAAACATGTGAACAATAAATGTAATATCTTGAGCTATTATATAAATTTATGATATCAATTCATATTTCAGACAATGGGATTTTGTGTATGACATTTTGTAATGTTTCTGCTGATTGTTGAACAGTTTCTGACTCTTTCACATGATTCTCTTAAAAACCCAAGACAGTCTTCCGTTGGCAATCTCATGGAATTCTCTGTTGACATTTTTCAAATAAAACAAAAACTGACGAACACAATTTACTTGTTGTGCCCAAGCCTTAAATACTAAATTTCTTTTAACTTTGTGTTCTAAACAACAACAAACACAAGATAAATACAATTGACACAGCTTAAAGTGTTGGACTAGGTTGCTCAGTGCTTGTATTCTCTGTTGTTAATGTATACGGAGACGAGTGACCGCGGCCTCAAGTGAATCTCTTGTCAAAGTTCTTTTCTTTTTACCTTTCAGAAGTTTATGAATTATCCACAGTTCTTTGACCAGAGCGTATGTATTAGTCTGCCGTTATTTCTGTATCCATGTACTCCAACTTGCTCATGCTTCTTGTTAAAATACATCTGCATATGTAACAAATCCCGAAATAATTCTTGTTGGTAAAGGGGTTACCTCCCATAAGTTCCTAATGCATATTTACAACGATGGATCCAGGAATTTGAGATTAAGGTCCCAAAACAAACATTTGATTTTTATGTTTTGGGGTGGGAAAATAATGAACAAGTTATATGAAATTAATAAAAGTGGGGTTTGTTTGCCCTTGACCCCCCCCCTGACCCCCCTGGATCCACCTGGATCCCCCTGGATCCACCTGGTTTCACCTGTGACGTCCAAACCAGCATGCCTCAAGAAGCAATCAAGTTTGTAGATGAAGCTAGGCAGTATGAGTATATCTGCTTGTCTGTTCTCATTTAACTTGCAGTTGTAAAGAATTATGCAATACGTTTAAACACAGTATTTATCTATGTTAGAAACACATGTTTATTTGAATCCACACCTTGATTGATGGTAGTGTGACAGCAGTACCTGTCTACCAGCGCCATGGTCCGTCCCCACACCACCCTCCACTAGACCACCTATAGGACCACCTGCCCACCCACCCACCCACCCACCTACCTACCCACCAGCCTGCCTCAGTTACTCCTGTCCCAATGCTTGCGTAATGCACCACTAAACATGGTATACAGCACATATCATCACATTGCTCTAGTGCTATGCTGGTGTTTCTTGTACAAAGGGGACAAGTGACATCCTGGTTTGATCCTCTCTGGTACCTTGAGACAACTTTGCTGTAGACAATGTTTATGTTTGTGTGGAAGTGTCTGGGAGATCAGTGTACATATGATCTGTTTGCAGCACAGCCTTTGTCAATAACATTGTCGAGCTGAAAATGTTCCTCAATTTGGTCAGGTTACTTTCGTCTTTGGGTTGAATATGTTCACAGTGAAGCTTGTCCCATGTATTTACAGCGATTAGCAGAAAATAGCAGTAAAATTTATTAGTTTAAGAAATCATTCTAGATTCTAGTTGTTTCCCTGTTGGACATTGTATGAAATTTCTATCATTACATTTGTAACATACACACTCAAGTTTTTGATGTTGCTGTTGTTCAAAATAAGTGGTTGGATGTTGAGGTGGTATGTGAACAGGGTATTTGACGGGTATGTCAATGGGGTATTCTGACAGGTATGTAGGTATGTCAATGGGGTATTCTGACAGGTTTGTAGGTATGTCAATGGGGTATTCTGACCGGGTATGTCAATGGGGTATTCTGACAGGTATGTAGGTATGTCAATAGGGTATTCTTACGGGTATGTAGGTATGTCAATAGGGTATTCTGACAGGGTATGTCAATGGGGTATTCTGACAGGTATGTAGGTATGTCAATGGGGCATTCTGACAGGTATGTAGGTATGTCAGTGGGGTATTCTGACAGGTATGTAGGTATGTCAATGGGGTATTCTGACAGGGTATGTCAATGGGGTATTCCGACAGGTATGTAGGTATGTCAATAGGGTATTCTGACAGGTATGTAGGTATGTCATTGGGGTAGTCAGTCAGGTATGTAGGTATGTCAATGGGGTATTCTGACAGGGTATGTCAATGGGGTATTCTGACAGGTATGTAGGTATGTCAATAGGGTATTCTGACAGGTATGTAGGTATGTCAATGGGCTATTCTGACAGGTATGTAGGTATGTCAATGGGGTATTCTGACAGGGTATGTCAATGGGGTATTCTGGCAGGTATGTAGGTATGTCAATGGGGTATTCTGACAGGTATGTAGGTATGTCAATGGGGTATTCTGACAGGGTATGTAGGTATGTCAATGGGGTATTCTGACAGGTATGTGGGTATGTCAATGGGGTTTGTTGACAGGGTATGTAGGTACGTCAATGGGGTATTCTGACAGGTATGTAGGTATCTCAATGGGGTATTCTGACAGGTATGTAGGTATGTCAATGGGGTATGTTGACAGGTATGTAAGTACGTCAATGGGTTATTCTGACAGGTGTGTATGTATGTCAATGGGGTATTCTGACAGGTATGTAGGTATGTCAGTGGGGTATTGTAAAAATGTATGTCAATGTGGTATTCTGACAGGTGTGTATATATGTCAATGGGGTATTCTGACAGGGTATGTAGGTATGTCAATGGGGTATTGTAACAATGTATGTCAATGGGGTATTGTAACAGGGTATGTAGGTATGTCAATGGGGTATTGTAACAATGTATGTCAATGGGGTATTCTAACAGGGTATGTAGGTATGTCAATGGGGTATTCTAACAGGGTATGTAGGTATGTCAATGGGGTATTCTAACAGGTATGTAGGTATGTCAATGGGGTATTCTAACAGGGTATGTAGGTATGTCAATGGGGTATTCTGACAGGTATGTAGGTATGTCAATGGGGTATTCTGACAGGTATGTTGGTATGTCAATGGGGTATTCTAACAGGGTATGTAGGTATGTCAATGGGGTATTCTAACAATGTATGTCAATGGGGTATTCTGACAGGTATGTAGGTATGTCAATGGGGTATTCTAACAGGGTATGTAGGTAGTTCAACGGGGTATTCTAACAATGTATGTCAATGGGGTATTCTGACAGGTATGTAGGTATGTCAATGGGGTATTCTAACAGGGTATGTAGGTATGCCAATGGGGTATTCTAACAGGGTATGTAGGTATGTCAATGGGGTATTCTAACAGGGTATGTAGGTATGTCAATGGGGTATTCTAACAATGTATGTCAATGGGGTATTCTGACAGGTATGTAGGTATGTCAATGGGGTATTCTAACAGGGTATGTAGGTAGTTCAATGGGGTATTCTTACAATGTATGTCAATGGGGTATGGTGACAGGGTGTTTGACAGAGTATGTTAGTTAACAGGGTTATCCTGGCTTTTAGAATATTAATGGGGAATGATGAGAGGGTGTCCTGACATCTTGCCTTGTCTTTCAGGGGGGCATCCAGCAGTACCACAACACTATGCCGGTGCCGATACACAATAGTGGCTATCCCAGTCAACCGGGTTTGATTCCGCCCCCACAGAACCATGTCCTGAGTGGCTCCCCCGGACTGCTACAGCCACCACAGGTGGCGCCCCCTAGCCACAGTCCCAGGCCAAACTCCACCGGTAGGTACAGCCACGCCCAGTTATGGCTGCGTGATAATCATCTCTCATGATCTAGCTTGCTTTATTGACTCTCAGAAAGTATTGAAGCTGTGTTACGGTGTATCAGCCTGTGACAGAGGAGCTCAAGGTGTACAGGTGGTATATGTTTGCCCCATTCTGATACTGTGACCACGATTGTGTTACTTATTCTCCAAGGAGATAATTCTGGCCAATCTGGGATTTGAACACAAAACTGGTCAAACCAGACACGGCTAAGGGATTCTTAGTTTGCCGATTTATGTAACGTAAGTTCGTGAACATTTAGAAAACTGTTTGCAGAATAGTTTGTGAAGTAGACAAACTGTTGTCGTGTAATATAATCGGTTTCTATTCATACCAATATTTCGGCCAACATTTCTGTGTCTACAAACTTTGAATGGTTGACAAACATTTGCGTAGATATTACTTTTTTAGATTTTACTTTTACGGCATATGCGAGAAATGAAGAGGACCCAAGTAACAACAACATATATTTGTCGGGTGAAAACAAACGTTTTTTAAGAGTGGAATATTCAGAATGCTGAATTTTTTTATGAATATCTAAATTTATGGTTTAATTTGTTTAGAAAAAATGACCAAATGTCAGTGTTTGGTCCATCTACTTTTGCAGGGCTTGTTGAGTTAATTCACTGTGTTGGTCAGCAGTTCTTATCTGCTTTTGTGTCTATTATGTACAAATTGTAATGTTTTGTTTTGTTTTCTTGCAGGTGGGATGGTTGATCTGAGTCATTCCCCCACCCCCAATGGCTACCCCCATCGAGTGTCCCCCTGCAGTTCGCCTGGGGTGATGGTCCACCACGCCAAACAGATGGCCAAACAGTCGCCCACCCCACCCCAAATGAGGCCCAACCCAAATCTTCGTGTGATGATCCCACCTCATAGCCGTGGCGATCTCATGTCCCCTGATGTATGTATATACACCTCTCCACTTTGTATTAGTGAGTCAGTGTGTGAGTGAGTGAGTGTGTGCATGTGTGAGTGAGTGAGGGAAAGAGACACTCCACTTTCTGTGTATTAGTGAGGGCAGCATGGGTGAGTGAGGGAGTGAGTGAGTGTGTGCATGTGTGAGTGAGTGTGTGAGTGAGTGAGTGAGTGTGCATGTGTGAGTGAGTGAGGGAAAGAGACAATCCACTTTCTGTGTATTAGTGAGGGAAGCATGGGTGAGTGTGTGAGTGAGTGAGTGTGTGCATGTGTGAGTGAGTGAGGGAAAGAGACACTCCACTTTCTGTGTATTAGTGAGGGCAGCATGGGTGAGTGTGTGAGTGAGTGAGTGAGTGAGTGTGCATGTGTGAGTAAATGAGGGAAAGAGATACTCCACTTTCTGTGTATTAGTGAGGGCAGCATGGGTGAGTGAGTGAGGGAACGACACTCCACTTTCTGTATATTAGTGAGGGCAGCATGGGTGAGTGTGTGAGTGAGTGAGTGAGTGTGCATGTGTGAGTAAATGAGGGAAAGAGACACTCCACTTTCTGTGTATTAGTGAGGGCAGCATGGGTGAGTGAGTGAGTGAGTGAGTGTGCATGTGTGAGTGAGTGAGGGAACGACACTCCACTTTCTGTGTATTAGTGAGGGCAGCATGGGTGAGTGTGTGAGTGAGTGAGTGAGTGTGCATGTGTGAGTGAGTGAGGGAAAGAGACACTCCACTTTCTGTGTATTAGTGAGGGCAGCATGGGTGAGTGAGTGAGTGAGTGAGTGAGTGTGCATGTGTGAGTAAATGAGGGAAAGAGACACTCCACTTTCTGTGTATTAGTGTGGGCAGCATGGGTGAGTGTGTGAGTGAGTGAGTGTGTGCATGTGTGAGTGAGTGAGGGAAAGAGACACTCCACTTTCTGTGTATTAGTGAGGGCAGCATGGGTGAGTGTGTGAGTGAGTGAGTGAGTGTGCATGTGTGAGTGAGTGAGGGAAAGAGACACTCCACTTTCTGTGTATTAGTAAGGGCAGCATGGGTGAGTGAGTGAGTGAGTGAGTGAGTGTGCATGTGTGAGTAAATGAGGGAAAGAGACACTCCACTTTCTGTGTATTAGTGTGGGCAGCATGGGTGAGTGTGTGAGTGAGTGAGTGTGTGCATGTGTGAGTGAGTGAGGGAAAGAGACACTCCACTTTCTGTGTATTAGTGAGGGCAGCATGAGTGAGTGTGTGAGTGAGTGTGTGAGTGAGTGAGTGAGTGTGCATGTGTGAGTAAATGAGGGAAAGAGACTCCACTTTCTGTGTATTAGTGAGGGCAGCATGGGTGAGTGAGGAGTATGAGTGAGTGGGTGATAAGTGTATGAGTGAGTGAAAAAGTGTACGAGTGAGTGAGTGATAAGTGTATGAGTGAGTGAATAAGTGTATGAGTGAGTGAGAGTATGTATTAGAAAGGACTCATTACTCCCTGCTATAGTGTCAGTGTATAGTTATGGGTCAATGTTTGTATATTTGTTCAAGGAAACATATAGTAATTGTGGTATTTTGTTCCACAGCTCCAAGGCCGAGTAGGCAACTCCTTAGTAACGCCAGTTGTTTCCTTGGCAACCCCGAACATGCCGGGTAGCGGGTACCCCTCCTCACTTCCCTCGTCGTTTCATCCAAGTAAGTACCGATCTCAAATTCAGTGTCATGTGACATCGCGGAGCATAGAAATTATGTTGAAAGCTTTGTTGTCCATGAGGTAAGTAATCAGAAACTGGCAATGATAAACAGAAACTAGCCATGATAAATATGAACTAGCCATGATAAACATGAACTAGCCATGATGAACATGAACTAGCCATGATGAACAGAAGTAGCCATGATGAACAGGAACTAGCCATGATAAACATGAACTAGCCATGATAAACATGAACTAGCCATGATAAACATGAACTAGCCATGATAAACATGAACTAGCCATGATAAACAGAAGTAGCCATGATGAACAGGAACTAGCCATGATAAACATGAACTAGCCATGATGAACATGAACTAGCCATGATAAACAGAAGTAGCCATGATGAATATGAACTAGCCATGATGAACATGAACTAGCCATGATAAACATGAACTAGCCATGATAAACATGAACTAGCCATGATGAATATGAACTAGCCATGATGAACAGAGGTAGCCATGATGAATATGAACTAGCCATGATAAACAGGAACTAGCCATGATGAACATGAACTAGCCATGATAAACAGAAGTAGCCATGATGAACAGAAGTAGCCATGATGAACATGAACTAGCCATGATAAACATGAACTAGCCATGATAAACAGGAACTAGCCATGATAAACAGGAACTAGCCATGATGAACATGAACTAGCCATGATAAACAGAAGTAGCCATGATGAATATGAACTAGCCATGGTAAACAGAAGTAGCCATGATAAACAGAAGTAGCCATGATAAACAGAAGTAGCCATGATGAATATGAACTAGCCATGGTAAACATGAACTAGCCATGATAAACAGGAACTAGCCATGATAAACATGAACTAGCCATGATCAACAGGAACTAGCCATGATGAACAGAAGTAGCCATGATGAACATGAACTAGCCATGATAAACAGGAACTAGCCATGATGAACATGAACTAGCCATGACAAACATTGCCTCCTGTATTCCACCTTGCCGCCATGTACTTGCCCCAGCCCAGCTTGATGTGGTCCTAATGTTGAGATGTTCATGATGTGTGTGTTTCCCCGCAGATGACTTCCCGCTGACCACTGCTGATGTGAGTAACGGTTACAACTCCTGGTGTGGGCAGGGCTCCCTGACTACCGGCTCGCCACACCACTCCACCGGCCTGTCCCTGACGTCAGGGTGAGTACAGCACATGCCGTCATATCTTGTGTTTGTTTGTTTGTTTGTTGTTTAACGCCACACTCAGCAATATTCCAGCTATATGATTGCGGTCTGTAAAAAAAAGAAGTTTGTACTAGACAATCTGGTGGTTGATATTATGAGCATCGATCCACAATTGGGATACGATGACATGCATCAACCTGGTCAGCGAGCCTGACCACCCGATCCTGTTAGTCGCCCCTTATGACAAGCATAGTGGCCTCTTACGGCAATCATGGGTTGCTGAAGACCTAGTCTCTACCTGGCGCTTCACAGGTCATATTAAATGTGTTGTATGTACTAGAATGTAATAATGTTAGTGTATTGTACAGATAGATATATTAACCAGCCTTAAACAGTTGTTATATGTTATGAAGAAAGGGTTAGATTCTTTGAGGATATGGAGAACCATTCAATGTATATGTCAGTAGCACCATGATGTTTGAAAACAATCTTTTGTACAAGAGGATTACAAGACTTATGTATTTGTGTATGTAATATAGTACTTGGCTTTTTATAGGGATACTGATTATAATATAATTATGTGTACATATAAGTATACATGTAAGTATAAAAGTAGAAATAACCCTTTCCCTATCATGGACTTGTAGGCTATTATGTCCAGCTGGACTGTGTGTTCTGTTTGGAGGAGTTGACGTACAAGTAGTATTTGTAGTTGCCTTGGAACACAGGCATGTGTAGCTTCATTTCATGTTTGAATAATGTCAGTACACAGTTCCAACAGCTATTCTCCTCTGAGTATGTAGCAGTACGAACTAGCTCAGTCTCATATGTTATATTTGGGATAACACTTTCTTAGTAAAGTACAGATTCTAGTACTTTTTGGGGGTTGAGACCCATCCGGGATTCGAACCCACACTGCCAGAGTGAGGCACCTAATCACCTGACTTTGTGTGCTGGCGATAAGTGCCTCACTTTGGCAGTGTAGGTTGGAATCACGGATGGAACTCAACCCCCCAAAAGTACAAGAATCTGTACTTTACTAAGAGTGAGTGAGTGAGTGAATATGGTTTTACGCCGCTTTTAGCAATATTCCAGCAATAACACGGCGGGGGACACCAGAAATGGGCTTCACACATTGTACCCATGTCGGGAATCGAACCCGGGTCTTCGGCGTGACGAGCGAACGCTTTAACCACTAGGCTACCCGACCGCCCCACTTTACTAAGAAAGTGTTATACCAGATATAACATTTGTTACATTTGACCCTTTTCTAAATGGCACTGTGTGTTCCTAGCTCTTTATCCCCACCAACAGTTGTGTGGCATTGTTACACAGATGTGAATCTGACCAAGGGTGTTGTGTTTTTCAGGACAGTACCACACACTGCCAACTCGGGCCACCATTTATCTCCCTTGGCAATCAACACAATGACACAACCTATGAATATCAAAAGCGAACCTATCTCGCCTCCACGGGACTCCACGACCCCCTCTAGTCACCACCAACAACAGCAACAGCTACGTCCTCCATCTGCGGGCACCGGGCACCTGTCGCCCGGCCACATCTCTCATAGCAACAGTTCGTCTCCGGTGAATGTACACACCAACGACTACGACGGCCCGATGGTGAAACGCTCCCGTATAGAGGGCTGGGCGACCTAGGGGATGCTGGAGGACATCCGAGTCTCCATCTTGCTGTCTGTCTCTATCTCAATCTGCAGACACAGAGACTAACGTCGCCTGATTGGTCAGCAGGACTTGGTCAGCAGCTTGCTCATTGGCACGCTAGCTACGGCCATCAGCTGGTCTGACTGCATCCGGAGTGGTGGACTTGTATATTGTACAGGAAGCTGTGACAAGCAGGACAGTTATGTACTAATACGTACTTAAAATCCCATATTTTCGTACGTATGTTTCTACTCCCGTGTTTCTGCGTAAGATTTTGCGCATGGTGGAAGGCCGCGAGCCTTTGGTGCCTTTCAGGTGGACAAACTGGATAGACGCTTTCATTTGTGTAAATATTGCTCCTGCACCTTGTGTCACTCACCACTGATGATCACTACATATGTTTATTATCATTATTATCCAACTGTGCAGAAGATGTTGTATCAGTTACTTATGTGGCTGTTTTGAATACACTGACAAATGAGGTGGAGTGTTTTGTTGACATATAAATGCATATATTCCCCCGTCTGGTGCCTAGTAACAACGTTGTGACCTTGTAACACGACATAGTAGCTCTGGACGAGTCCGAACAGCGACGGACGGACGGACGGACAGATGCTATTTCAGCTAGAGTAGTGCTCACTGTCAAATAATTCAACGAAATTAAAAGTGGTAGTAGATTAGCTAACTAGGATGGATGAAGCCCCTCGCGTGGGATTAGTCAGCGACAATGAGGATTGATATCACTGTTGTGCACAAATTAGACATGAACACACGTACGTGTCCATTCCCTCAGTGGGTAATTGTTGATGTGTATTCACCATGCAAAGGGCAAAGCTGAGTGACAGTCACTCTTTGTATACCTTGCACCATCACACAGCTTTTTCTTCTCTTTGAAACACATTGTTATCTTGACCTTTGACCTGATCATGAATCATTCGTATGATATTCAAAGCCAACTTTTCAAATGTCAAAAATAATGCGTCTGAAACTTATTTAATGTAATAGACACTGTTATTGATGAAGTAATGATCGTAATTGGACTTTTTAGGGAATCTAGTTTATCTGTATGGAACAAATTCCAGAGATTTATTATATATCTACACCCGTGAGAGGATGCTTCCTTCTCATAGCAATGTGCAATATGTTCAATGCCAGTACTGACAACACTACTTACTGATTGCCACCTCCCAATGGTCGTTAAAAGTGCTTTTAATTTATTTACATGTTAAAAATTGTTGAAGTTTGTGATGAACTAGAAGCCTGATAGGAAAGTGCAAAGTGACAGGAAAACTTCTCTCGTCAAAGCCGACGGACACTTTCGCTCCTCTGTACCGATATCTCCACTCCTAGTTCCTATAGGTTTAAGGAACACCAGACTGCATGGTTCTAAGAAATGGCTCAGGTTCAGCATATCCGAGAAATGAAATAAGTCAAAGATTGTAATATTCTGACGATTCTGAAATTTGACATGGAATACAGACGGTGTATATGTTCGAAAACATGATCGTGCTTGACGTTTGTAGTCTGGCTATGTGTAGTTCAGGTGCATTTATAAAGGCTAATAGATCATTATTTTTGTATTTGTTTCATAACACCTATAGAGTATATTTTCAAACTTTTATCACAGAAGTCGATTATGCTCATATGATCTTTTAGACCTGCAGAGTAGAGGTTGTAAATATTGGAGAGTCTTTAAATGACACTTTTCTAATCTACGCAAATTGTACGTTTACAACAATTTATACTTTGAAACCAGATACTCTTTCTGATATGTTTATTTTAATTCTTTTTCTTGAAACATTACGACCTAGTCCTTGTCTGTTACTCTGTATATGAAAAGATTAAGTTTTCATATTTTTTCATACTTTACTATTCCTTGTATATTTTAGCATTTATAAACAGTTTCATATCAGGGATGAAATTTTCTGTTAAAAGTTGAAATTTTTAGATGATACTCATCTATGAATGTTGTACAAACTATTACTATTTAATTTCCTCGAGACGGTTGATTGTTCCCTCTCACCTCTGTTAATCAACTGACATTAGGCGTAAGTTGAGTGCTTTTACTAAGATCAACTGTGATATTCAAATGATGGCTATTTCTTGAGTGAGTGTTCTATATGTTGCCTTAGCGATAATATGTTACTATGGTTACTAGGCATGTTACAGAATGTGTATATCAGGTAGCACTGGCTTGGCAGCTCCCCAATTGCAAACTGACCCTGGACTTGACAAGTGTTTACACTCAAACTATGAAATATGATTCCTACAGAAAGTGCTGTTGATTTTTTTCGAACACGGAATCAAATATTCTTTCCGTACTGTCCTATCGGTTTGTGTCTTCACAAGATGTCACTTTGCAATTGAAAAGCTGAGAAATGTGTATAGTTACTCAGGCAATATAATGTGTTACTTCGTGTTTTACTTGGAAGCGTCAGCGGTATTGTTGAGGTCATGGCACCACGGCGTGTTGGCTGGCTGACTGGAGGGCGTGGCTTCTGTCTGTGTTAACAAAAGCATTGAGGGAGAGTTGTTCCTATTGAAAGACTTCACATAATGAAAAAGTGCTTTTAACTATTAATATGTTTGTATACCATTATGAATGGTTCAATTGTTGCAAAACTTGCAAGAATTTTGTATGTATAAATATTTTTGTGCTGTAGTATACTCGTTGCCAAGTAAGTTATTGTAAAATGATAGTGTATGTGTTTTGTACTGTGTACTTGGATCACAGAGGAGAAATTCAATATGGCAGCACTCAGGCGAGGAAATGAAAACTACATGTTTCTACACAAAGATGGCATGATAACACTGGTGGCACGTCATATAAGGCGTTAGACGCTGGTGGCACGTCATGTGAGGCGTTGGACACTGGTGGCAAATGAAGCAATGCTAGGCTTGTTTCAAATGTCATGAGGCAATGCTAGGCTTGTATCACATGAGGCAATGCTAGGCTTGTGTCACATGAGGCATTGCTAGGCCTGTGTCACATGAGGCAATGCCATGCTTGTGTCTTATGAGGCATTGCTAGATTTGTGTCACATGAGGCAATGCTAGATTTGTGTCACATGAGGCATTGCTAGACTTGTGTCACATGAACCAATGCGAGGCTTGTGTCACATGAGGCAATGCTAGACTTGTGTCAGATAAAGCAATTCTATGCTTGTGCAACATGAGGCATTGCTAGACTTGTGTAATGTGAAGCAATGCAAGGCTTGTGTCACATGAGGCATTGCTAGACTTGTGTCACATGAAGCAATGCGAGGCTTGTGTCACATGAAGCAATACGAGGCTTGTGTCAAATGAAGCAATGCTACGCTTGTGTCACATGAAACATTGCTAGACTTGTGTCACATGAAGCATTGCCAGACATGAGGCATTGCTAGACTTGTGTAACATGAAGCAATGCTATGCTTGTGCAACATGAGGCATTGCTAGACTTGTGTCACATGAAGCATTGCCAGACATGAGGCATTGCTAGACTTGTGTAATGTGAAGCAATGCGAGGCTGGTGTCACACTAGGCATTGCTAGACTTGTGTCACATGAAGCAATGCTAGACTTGTGTCACATGAAGCAATGCTGGGCGTGTGTCACATGCCATCAGGCATTGCTAGGCTTGTCACATGAGGTGTTTGCAAGACTGGTGTCCCGTTACGCGTGAGGTGTTGCTGGAACGTCCACAGGGAGCCATTACGATACCAGCTGCAGATGAATGCTGGGTACAGTGGGTGTCCTTGTCTCCTCCACAACCATGTGTAGTCCGTTGCCTCACAAGTCTGTGAAGTGGAACAGTATGTGACAGGTAGACACACATGATGTTAACAGAATTTCCGAGTGATTTTCACAAACATGAATTCTTCAGACACTTATTGAGATGTGATTTTGATTAAAATCAACACAGAATTTATCATGAGGTGTTGGATGTTTGTCTTAGGGAATGACAATCCTCCAGGATTGGGGCATTTTATTGCAGACTCTGGAGGAGACGCTCCAACACTCACCCACATGTACCGAGCATCTCTCTGATTCCTATTTATTTCTGCAGCAGCCATGTCGGTGTGAAGTCAGAAGCTGTTTCAAACACGCACCGAGAACCAACTCCAATGTCACTCCGTGTCTTGTCATTTGATGGCAGATGGTCTTCCGTGGCATATTTCGATCAGGGCGCTGTTCTACAAAGCAATCGTAGCGCTTATGACAGTCTTGAGCCTATGTTAAAGCATGAGAACTATGATCATCAGCGATACGATCACTTTATGGAAACGGCCCCAGTCCTATAAGATGAAACTGTTACAGGTGCAAAATTAATTAATTTGTAAACTTGAAATGTCTGCTTCTACTTGTGTCAAATACCAGTTGTTGTCCCCACACCGACATCGCCCTGCAGCCGAAGCTACCCCAATGACTTCCGTCTCACTCTGCTGTATATTCTCATTGTCCACTCAGTGTCTCCTGTATTTGCTGAGTCAGCGGTTGTCAGCCTGTTGCCTGCTGGGCAGCACCACCAGAGTGGATAGAAGTGATGTGTGCAATGACCAGCTTTAACTATATGAAGGAGAAGTGCACTTGAGATATTGCCAGACATTAGCTACTCATACATTGTTTGTACACATCTTGTAATTGGGATGTTACCATGGAAACTGGTTGTCAGTCACATGACTGGCTTCTGATTGGTTGATGTAGGAGCCAATCAGTGCTCTGTAGCGGACAATGCTTGTTCTATCTTGTAATGCTTCGAAGGTTTCAGAATAATAAATCAGTTTTGATTTAGATTTGTTTTCACATTTTCAAAGGATTGAATGCATTTCATGCATCTATATGAAAACTTATGTATCTTTGTATGCTTGAAGACAAAGTGAAAGAAATAGTACAACAGTGCTATCTGATTCATCAGGTAGACAGGCAGTGTCTGTTACAGGTGAGATACTGGGGGGGGCTTCTTTAAGGTGAAGTGTCTGCATACAGGTGAGATATGGGAGCGGGGTGGGGAGGGGGGCTACTTAGGGGTCTTGGGGGACAGGATAGCTACTTCAATATGCTAGCGGAATGGGTAGTTACCTCAATATTCTAGAAGCACAGGGTGCAACCTTGATAAGCTTGAGGGGAGTGGTGGCGAACTCAATCTGCCAAACAAGACAGACATGGCTACTTCAATTTGAAATTTACGGGGTGAATACTCCTCAATGTCCAAGTGCCTAGGTAGGTACTTTCAGGTAGATGCAAGGTAGGCCTGTTGATGGTACAAGATACTGGGAGGGTGGCTACTCCTGGGTAGATGATAAAGAAGGGACGGTACCTTTACTGACAAGTTTAGAAGAGGTCGGTGGTAAAGACGTCATTTGGGAAGGTTGCAGCCCCAGTTTCAGAGGTATATGGTGCAGGTAGAAGCTGATTGGAAGCAGGGATATGGGGAGGGCAGTTACTTGGTGGCTCCCAGCTACAGGTATTCGTGCTGTACTGCTGTGTAACACACATGTAGCACACACACGTAACACACACGTAATCATGGCAACAGGCTTGTGTATGTCACGATGTTCACTTGTGTCTGCTCGTTGGAGGTATCAGTCATCTTAGACAGGATGGTACTAAACAATTAAACTTGTTGAAGTGCAGTTCAACTCTGTTGTTTTTTCTTGTGTGCTGGTGTTTCAATGTTCTGGGGTGCAGATGCTGGATGATGACGTCAGAGGTGTCCTGTATGTTGCACATTACTTGGTTTGGTGTACCAAATGTTGGTCTTGCAACCGAACCGCCATACAGGTGTCCTGACTGAAGTTGCACAATCCCGTCAAACAGGTGTCTGGGTTGAGGTTGCACAATGCCTCATACAGGTGTCTGGACCTTGGTTACACAATCCCAGGTCCCTGGACCGTGGTTACACAATCCTGTCAAACAGGTCGCTGGACCGTGGTTACACAATCCCGTCAAACAGGTGTCTGGACCGTGGTTACACAATTCTGTCAAACAGGTGTCTGGGTTGAGGTTGCACAATGCCATCACACAGATGTCTGGACCGTGGTTACACAATCCTGTCCAACAGGTCGCTGGACCATGGTTGCACAATCCCGTCATACAGGTCGCTGGACCATGGTTGCACAATCCCGTCATACAGATCGCTGGACCTTGATGGTATCTGGACCGTGGTTACTGAATGCAGCACACTTAAACAAACATTATGAGAAGGCCAGGACAGCTTACACACACATTATTAGAGGAATTGGGGGACGGCTTACACATTATTAGAGGAAAGGACAGGATGGCTTACACATTATTAGAGGAAAGGACAGGCTGGCTTACACACACATTATTAGAGGAAAGGCCAGGAAGGCTTACACACACATTATTAGAGGAAAGGACAGGCTGGCTTACACACACATTATTAGAGGAAAGGCCAGGAAGGCTTACACACACATTATTAGAGGAAAGGCCAGGATGGCTTACACACACATTATTAGAGGAAAGGACAGCATGGCTAACACATTATTAGCGGAAAGGACAGGATGGCTTACATACACATTATTAGAGGAAAGGACAGGGTGGCTTACATACACATTATTAGAGGAAAGGACAGCATGGCTAACACATTATTAGCGGAAAGGACAGGATGGCTTACATACACATTATTAGAGGAAAGGACAGGGTGGCTTACGCACACATTATTAGAGGAAAGGACAGGATTGCTTACGCACACATTATTAGAGGAAAGGCCAGGAAGGCTTACACACACATTATTAGCGGAAAGGCCAGGAAGGCTTACACACACATTATTAGCGGAAAGGCCAGGAAGGCTTACACACACATTAATAGAGGAAAGGCCAGAATGGCTTACACACACATTATTAGAGGAAAGGACAGGATGGCTTACACATTAGCGGAAAGGACAGGATGGCTTACACACACATTATTAGAGGAAAGGCCACGATGGCTTACACACACATTATTAGAGGAAAGGCCAGGATGGCTTACACATTATTAGAGGAAAGGACAGGACAGCTTACACACACATTATTAGAGGAAAGGCCAGGAAGGCTTACACACACATTATTAGAGGAAAGGCAAGGATGGCTTACGCACACATTATTAGAGGAAAGGCCAGGATGGCTTATGCACACATTATTAGAGGAAAGGCCACGATGGCTTACACACACATTATTAGAGGAAAGGCCAGGATGGCTTACACATTATTAGAGGAAAGGCCAGGATGGCTTACACACACATTATTAGAGGAAAGGACAGGACAGCTTACACACACATTATTAGAGGAAAGGCCAGGATGGCTTACGCACACATTATTAGAGGAAAGGACAGGATTGCTTACGCACACATTATTAGAGGAAAGGACAGGATTGCTTACGCACACATTATTAGAGGAAAGGACAGGATGGCTTACACACACATTATTAGAGGAAAGGCCAGGACGGTTTACACACACATTATTAGCGGAAAGGCAAGGACGGTTTACACATTATTAGAGGAAATGCCAGGACGGTTTACACATTATTTTTTAGAGGAAAGGACAGTACGGCTATTCTGTGTTTCTCATGCATGCCAGAAATCTATGACCATGTGTTTGAATCCCAGGTTTGTTCTGTTTCTCGGTTTGTCAGCACCATCCCTCTGTTTGTGGGTTCACCAGTGCTAAACATCACACTACCTGCACCACTTCAAGCTTTCCTCCCACAAAATGCTCACATACCATGATATAACAGGAGTACTGTTCAAAGTGGCACTGAAACAAACTTACTCACTCATCCACTAGAGTCCCCACCTGACCCTGGAAACGGCACGTCAGTCCTCTTGGTGCAAACTTACGAAATAAATACTTAGGATTATCCTCTAAATTGATGGAATGTTGTCCCTCACATACTTTCTGGTAAGAAGGGATCATTCTTTGTGTGTACAACATGCTGTCTGGTCAAAGGGAAGTAACTCTGACATTCAGAACCATGACAGTCCAAAGCTGAAACAATTGACAACAAACAAGCACAGAAGATGGTTTATGTATAATATATTCAATGCATATAAAATGATTTTATACAAATATTGCCAATAATAAGAATGAGGATGACAATGTTATATACAAGTGCAAGAGAAATTCCTGTTACTCATGGTAGTGCTGACATAACGAGACCTCCAACTTCCAGTACGCCACAGACACTGGAGACATCAGGCCTAATGCAGACATGGTACATGGTGTTATAATTACGCTAAATATAATATGAGCAATCTTATATTATCTGGCTGACATATAAAATAAACCGTTTATCGAACAATGACAAAAATGTGTGCTACTCATGTATCTGGATATTTCTTTGGAGTTTTTAAGAAGAAATTTAAAGCCTTTATGTGGTGAATTTTAGTAAAAATTGAGGAACTGGTTAATTTTGTGCTTTTAAAGCTTCCTAAACAGTAGACTGGAGAAATATCTTGCACAGTTATGACCGCCATTGTTTGGGTCCAATTTTAAAGGACTGACATGGAAGGCTCGACAACGCTATCAGTGATTATCAAATTCATGGCATACCAGTTATGGAATTTAAACACAATTATTTTCAGCTGTTCCTATGACTAGAAATTCAGCAATCATCAGAATAAATGCAAAAAAGTCTTTTTAATCCTGTGAACAAGAAAAGAGTTTGATTCCTGCATAGCATAACATGGAGTGACATCCTTTTCAGTATGTAATATCAGGCAATAACGATATAGTGAAACTTTCTGCTATATTCATTGGCCTAGGAGCGGTTACATGTCATTCGACCGAAACGCATCTTGACTCCAAGTTAGATCTTATAATTTGCTGTATTGATCTGATGTCTCCATCTGCTGAAACCCCCTACGTTCTTCATAGTTGGATTTGATGAATCTGCTTTTGTGTTTTTATTATGTAATAAAACAATTATAGACTCTAAATGAGATCAACACCTTTTTGTAGACCCAAGAAAAGTGATATTGACCTCAGATTATGTCTGTAATTAGTCTTATATATATCTATAATTGTTAATAATAATAACATCTTCGATAACATACTCTTTCATGTAATATTATGAAATACTTTATGGCATACCATATCCTGCTTTATAACAATATCCTTTATAACACCATATCATCTGATATAACAAAATACTTCATAACATACCATATTATCCTATATCAAGACATCATTTACAGCACACTATAATTCTACAAGGTGTGGCTGAAAAGTCCTGGTTGGTTGCCTACTATTTGTCTACATAATCCCCACTGAGGTCCACACGATTCTGCCGAGGATGATGGAGTGCCTGGATCCCACTGATGTAGAAAGCTTCCTCCAAGTGGTATAAGAAATCCGCCACAGCAGGAATGGCGTCATCATTTTGTATAATGCTCGACAGTCATCACCTTACAAATGATGGAAAAGATTTTGTCTTCTTCGTCAGTGTAGACGTTAGACGTTTCCACTGCTGTTACTGTTGTTTAGTGGCTGGGGAACCCAAGTACATCCATAGTTACCAAATACAAATCGATCAACAAAATTTGCCAGATTTGTTTCAAACGATGTAAATGTTCATGAGACATGATGAACCTGGACGTTTCTGATCAGGCGTCAGAAGCCTTGGAACCCAGTGTGCTGAAACTGATAATGCCCAGTTCTTCCCCTAACGATGACACCATGTCACATGGGAGGCTGTGGAGGTATCATCCCCTAACCATGACACCATGTCACATGGGAGGCTGTGGACAGTGTGGAGGTATCATCCCCTAACCATGACACCATGTCACATGGGAGGCTGTGGAGGTATCATCCCCTAACAATGTCACCATGTCACATGGGTGGCTGTGGAGGTATCATCCCCTTACCATGACACCATGTCACATGGGAGGCTGTGGAGGTATCATCCCCTAACCATGACACCATGTCACATGGGAGGCTGTGGAGGTATCATCCCCTAACGATGACACCATGTCACATGGGTGGCTGTGGAGGTATCATCCCCTAACGATGACACCATGTCACATGGGTGGCTGTGGAGGTATCATGCCCTAATGATGACACCATGTCACATGGGAGGCTGTGGAGGTATCATTCCCTAACGATGACACCATGTCACATGGGTGGCTGTGGAGGTATCATCCCCTAACGATGACACCATGTCACATGGGTGGCTGTGGAGGTATCATCCCCTAACCATGACACCATGTCACATGGGAGGCTGTGGAGGTATCATCCCCTAACGATGACACCATGTCACATGGGTGGCTGTGGAGGTATCATCCCCTAATGATGTCACCATGTCACATGGGTGGCTGTGGAGGTATCATCCCCTAACGATGATAACACCATGTCACATGGGAGGCTGTGGAGGTATCATCCCCTAACCATGACACCATGTCACATGGGAGGCTGTGGAGGTATCATCCCCTAACCATGACACCATGTCCCATGGGAGGCTGTGGAGGTATCATCCCCTAATGATGACACCATGTCACATGGGAGGCTGTGGAGGTATCATCCCCTAACCATGACACCATGTCACATGGGAGGCTGTGGAGGTATCATCCCCTAACCATGACACCATGTCACATGGGAGGCTGTGGAGGTATCATCCCCTAACGATGTGACCATGTCACATGGGAGGCTGTGGAGGTATCATCCCCTAACCATGACACCATGTCACATGGGAGGCTGTGGAGGTATCATCCCCTAACGATGTCACCATGTCACATGGGAGGCTGTGGAGGTATCATCCCCTAACCATGACACCATGTCACATGGGAGGCTGTGGAGGTATCATCCCCTAACGATGTCACCATGTCACATGGGAGGCTGTGGAGGTATCATCCCCTAACGATGACACCATGTCACATGGGAGGCTGTGGAGGTATCATCCCCTAACCATGACACCATGTCACTTTGGAGGCTGTGGAGGTATCATCCCCTAACCATGACACCATGTCACATGGGAGGCTGTGGAGGTAACCCTTTCACCTGGAGATACTTCATGATATTGTCATCTGATGCCTGCAGAACTAAGCTGCCTGGTTGTATATTTGTCCAAAGCAACCTGTGACCATGGAAAGTACTGTACTTAGTACATGCAAACTGTTTAGTCTGCTCTATACATCCTTCGTAGCTTTGCTCAGAACTTTTCAGTCACCCCCTGTATATAAACAAAGACATCCTTTAAAGCACACTACATCATTCAGTATAAAACAACATCCCTTGTCTTGCATGTCAGATACGTTATAAATTACACTGTAAGTAACACTGAAGATTGAGGTTTTAGGGGTGTCACAATTCACTAACTCATAATACGTACACCGACTTGTGAAATATTGACGACATTGAAGCATGATATTTATTATTGTAAAGGTACCAAAATAAATGAAATTGAACACGGGACATTGAATGTTGTCAGTTCAACTCCCACACAACCTGACCTGTGTAGATCTGGTAGAATAGGCCTTCAGCAACCCATGCTTGGCGTAAAAAGGCAACTATGCATGTCGTAAGAGGCGACTAAAGGGATCGGGGGGTCAGGCTCACTGATACTTGTCATCGTATCGCAACTGCGTGGATGGATGCTCATGATGTCAATCACTGGATTGTCAGGTCAAGACAGGCTATTTACAGACCGCCATCATATAGTTGGAATATTGGTGAGTGCGGCGTTAACCAACAAGCATACAAATAGACCACACAGCCCAGCTAGCTAGCCTTGTGCCAGTGTATAGCATGGGCTTTCTGCTACATGATATTCTATCCATGTTTTAATATTTTCAAAGGTTTGATTTGCAATAAATTGTGACACCCCCATAATATACAGAATTCCGGTACAAGATCAATCAATATTGAAATATATTTGAAGGTTCATTGTACAAACATTACAATTATTTGTAACATCCCGGATATACATTCTTAGTGATTTCACAAAATCCCACAACACCCACCCCAAGTCTTCTTGTCCACATCCAGTTGTCAATACCTCCTTCACTGCAAGGCTTTATATATGTACATGCATATAACAGTGTTATAACAGTGAACATTCACCACACATACATGGCACATCCTCCAAGTGGAACTGTAACCATGGCAACTTCTCCTGTACTTGTATGTATGTTGTGATCCTAGCAATAACGTCTACTGTACACTGTTTACTTGTATCACAGCAGTAGTTCCCCATGGAACCAGCCGTTTCAGAGCCGTGTTGTAATGCTTTTTAAATGTAGAACTGTCAATAATATTCTAACAAAAACAGCAAAAAAAACCAACCATTGTTATATAATTCAACCACTGTTCTAATTCTTCAAGTAAAACGATAACTTATCGATGAACAGCAGAACATTTCATGTCCTAGTTGACTTTCTACAGCTAATTACAGGTGATAACATACACTGGTATGTTACTGCGATTTGAAACCCCTGATTGACTAATCAGTTTCAACCATTCCTCACAGTCGGTCCCTTAAATGCCCTGCCATATGACAATATTATTACCAGAAAAACCCTACATGTGAAATAATATTATATAAACATACTAGGTGATGGTGAACTTAAATAGAGGGCTGAATGGAAATGTGAACTAATCTTAGTGCATGTTGATATAGAGTATTTACACAGTCCCTGAGTGCAGTACGTGACCCGGAAAGGCATGTCTTACGGCAACCCTGTTTCAGAATAGTTGTTTTGAGTGAGTGAGTGAGTTGGGTTTAACGCCGCTTTTAACAGTATTCCAGTTGTATCATGGCGTGTCAGCTTGATGGGGGAGAAAAGCCCGAAGTGATGCAGGTCTCAGACGTTTACCACTTCGGTGAAACCCACGAGCACGGGTGTGGTGCTGACAAACCTAGAAACATAATCAGGGCGAACCTGGATTCGAACCCACAATCATAGGTTTCTGGCGTGCCCAAGGGACGCAACTGTGCACAGCGAATCACAGCGCCTTGGACGACTGGGCCACCCGTGCCCCCAAAGGTGTTTTGATTGATTCGAGTTCATTTCATGGAATGTTTGCCTTTTAAAATTTTGGTTTAAGGAACCAAGGTAAACTTTAGTTGTTGTAACTGAGTAAGCATGTCACGGGTGGCAATAGGCCCCCCAAACATATATCAAATGACAATACAGGCGAATAGTATTCAAACTAGTCAAATGTTATGAAGAAATCACTAAACTTTTCTGATAAACGTCACTGTACACATATGGGGGGCATAACACCCCCCTGCACTATGTCATTCCTCATACACAACGTGACCTCATAAAATAATGTAGCCCAGTTGCGCCATCTGGTGTTCGGTTTGTGAATGTTGACCTTTAGCAACTGGTGTTCACTGATTCTGTTTTTGATGGCTTTTCTTAGCTACTTTTTTTATGTCTGTGTTGTTCACTAATGTTCTTCAAAATTTTGATTACATATTCCACAATTCATATAGATCTTTGCAAATGATAATTATTCGTAGTAATATTTAATGTTTTCTTCACTAAGTCTGACACATCTATTTCCATGTTTTCACTGTATGGTTGCTCATACATATCTCTATCATAACTCAGACATACAATCCTTAATGCTTCTCCAAATCATGGGTTGTCAGCCATTGGTCTAAGGGAGACAACCCTGGCTAGGAATGTGACAATAGTTTTTGGCTGTAAGAGCATGGTCAAACAAGAGCCTTCTCATGGAGAGACCACACATCGTCCAATAAAACAGCAATTGTATAATATTGAATAACACAATGACTGCCATTGGCTGGTGGAAATAAAATAATACCTAATATCAACTCACGCCTAGAAATATAACATTTGAAGGGTCTGAATGGCCAAATGTTTGAAGTGTTTGGAACTTACAGTGCAGATTCTTCTACCAGGAATTGAAGTGATGTACTCAAACTACAGCCATGTCTAGTCAAAACCATTCTAGGAAATGAGGTATTGTATTTTGAATACTTAATGAGGGAAAAAGCAAATGGGTGACATGAAAAGAGTTATTTCAAATTAATATATTGAAAAAAACATGTTTCATGATGATAATACTTACGCACCAAATATATTGAAAGTTGTCACGGTTAATTCAGGGAATGATTGGATTAAAAAGGCATGAAATAGTATAAAGAAAAATCAAAGAAACTGTTAAATAAAGCAAAAAGATACTGACGTAAGAAAGTTCTGCTATGCAAGTACCGGTATCACACAATCTGATGTTGTGTATCTTTGTCTGTGCGACACCTGACTGGTGACACCTGACTGATGACGCCAGGTGCTCCAGTGTTCATTGCTTCACTAGACCTACAGTCCGCTACAGTCTGCTACGGTTCGCTACAGTCGGCTACAGGTAGGTACACAGTGGCGAGGACTATTCCAGTGTCCGGATATGCCCTCACAAAGCAGGTCATTTGAACCAAACATTTCAACAAATTGCAACAATCAATAGATCTCCATGTTATTTCAGGGTCGTCAATATGATATCACAAAGGTTGTCTTCTACCAAAACAGGTGAGAACTGCCTGGCACAATGGCGAGGCACAGATGTTGGTAAGTCCTGACAGGAATTCTGACTCTCAGGAACTCCCATCACACCAGCCCTCTTTTCCTCTGTGTGATAGACAGCATTGTGCTAATACAATACAAAGAGTTTTTGTACAAACAAACATTTCGTTTACTTCAAATTTAAATGATTTCTGAATGTGAATAAGTTTTGAGTGTCTTTAACTTAGTATGGTGGCAAGAACCGAGGTGTTAAAAGTCCAACAAGAGCTTTCAATACTTACGTCAATTATGGGGCGCTAGTACCAAAGTTTTGGTTCTGTTTCCTTAGGTCTTCTATCTTACCCTGCATGAACACATCCCTTTTGCTTTTATAACTTTGAGGCCAAATCAAGTTTGAGTCAAGTTTGTTTCTTAACGTTAATGTCTTCAGAAAGTTACAAGTAAACGGCCGTTATCACATAATGATAAAAGGACAACTGTAAGGTGAAACTCATATTTACCACCCTGAAATAAATGGATTTTGTGGCTTGTGAAGTACTTGGCCTCGAGTGAAGATAAATATAGGCAGCAAGTACCACATCAAACGTTTGCATTGACACAATAACCATTTGTTTTCACCATTTTGTGTACCAAGTGAAATATCGTGAATTCCCTGATACAAATATCACTAAGTCAACTCTCTGTTCAGCTGTTTCAGTGAATGTTGACGGAACACAGTCTGTCGTGCTGTAATCTGGGAACACCTCCGACTGATGTATGCACAGGCTCAATCACAGCATAGAATAGTAAAGGCATGGATTTAGCACTCATATAATCACAGTGAAATCCTGGTAGCAGGGAGGCGACTGCAGCAGCTGGCTCCAATACCCCTGGCTCCAGGCTCAAACTCAGCCAACTCCCCCTGCTCCGAGCTCCAACTCCCCCTGCTCTGAGCTCCAACTTCCCTGGGTCTGGGAGCCAACTCTGCCAACTCCCCCTGCTCTGAGCTCCACCCCCCTCCCCCACCCGGTCCCCTCGGCGCCCCCTGGTGGCCGTCTACCATCTACTCCTCCTGCCACTGCTGGTGGAGAGTGTGAAGATGGTCTGCTGCCCGCTGGCTGATGTTGAGAGCAGGATGGAGGGATGCGAGGCCAGGCTCCTTCATCAGCGACAAGCCACAGATGCCAAAATAGGCATGGAGAGCATCTAAAACATCATAGGATAATGTACATCTACTGCACCCTGTACATACTCCTGTCCTATCACTATAAAGGAATTCTGTTTGTTTGTTTGTTGTTTAATGCTGCACTCAGCAATATTCCAGCTACATAACAGCAGCCTGTAAATAATTGAGTCTGGACCAGACAATCCTGTGATTGACATCATGAGTAACGATCCACGCAATTGGGATATGGTGACATGCATCAACCAAGTCAGCGAGCCTGACTACCCGACCCTGTTAGTGGCCTCTTACGACAAGCATAGTTGCCTTTTACAGCAAGCATGGTTTGCTGAAGACCTATTCTACCCCAGATCTTCACGGGTCGGGGGCGGTCGGGTAGCCTAGTGGTTAAAGCGTTCGCTCGTCACGCCGAAGACCCGGGTTTCGATTCCTGACATGGGTACAATGTGTGAAGCCCATTTCTGGTGTCCCCCGCCGTGATATTGCTGGAATAATGCTAAAAGCGGCGTAAAATCAAACTCACTCACTCACTCTTCACGGGTCAGCGTGACTAGTGAGCACTCTACCAACTGAACCACCCTATCACCTTGGTGGCACTAGACATTAGGAACATAACATGTGGTTGGGGGCTACAGTAATAATTGGCCTTGGACAGTACTCCAATAATAGCAAACATTCACCTTTGTCAGCTGAAGTTTGTAGACTTACCATATTCGATGTAATTAGCGCCCCGCTCTAATAAGCGCCCACAGCGATATTTATAGTGAACAATCCCAATTAGCACCCCTTCCAATTGATCAATGTACACACAACATATTTATTTGTGTATAATACGCACTCGTGTGTTATATGTACCCTTAATTAATAGCAATTCATTTCTGGAAAATATATCTGTCGTGTATAATATGCACAGGCTTTTCTTTTGTATCATTTCAAGCTGTCAGCACAAACCACAAAATTTACAATCTTTCAACTACATGTTTTTTTCTCACCAAAATTATATTCTAATTTTCCCCTATTTCTAATTTTAACAGCGCCCTGGGCGCTTATTACATCAAATATGGTATAACTAGTGAACTAGCAGATCCTGGCATGGCAAAGGGACACAATTGTGTTTGAACAGCTTTGAACATTTATTATATTCCTAAAGCTGAAGATGAACACTTAAGATATTTATATAGCCTATTAGTATATTATTACAACTAGTGTGGCTTGGCGCTGGCCCTGAGGCTGTGTGTACCGTACCTGGAGTGCTTTCTGGCCACTTTGCAAAGCCACCCGTTACATTGGACTGAGTTTGTAGGATGTAGGAACGGTTGAATTCAAAACTTGATAATTCAAAAGTATCTAGAAGCTGAAGCAGAAAGAAATCAGAGAACTATTAAACAATTAAAGGGAGATAATTGATAAAGGGAGAGCACTCCTGCATTCAGAAACAAGTTACTCAAGGAAGGTGTTTAGGTGGTATTACAAGTTATTTTGAATTTAGCGTTAAAAATTGACACTAGTCCTGTAGTCCTTGCCAAACTGCCCAATAGTTAAGGTATCACATAAGGACTAGTAGAAAGTTTCCCTTCTTATGAGTTTTGCTATATGTTATCATTATATGGACTAGTTGACTAAAACTGTTAGTTTCTAACACTGTGAATTGTTACTGAAAGTGCTGTTCACCATGAGCAAGTGCTGAAAGTAGCATACACAACAACGGAAGTTTAATATTACACAATTGACATTTCTGGTTATTTTCTTAAATATCCTGCCAAGTAGAAAGTCTGGTATGGTGCAATGTTTGAAACAACGGTGATTACAAAACTGTGTGAGAGTCGTACCTGTAATGTTGCTCCAACCCAGAAGGAGTAACACGTGTCGACTGGTTTGTTCGGTCGCCCCTGGAAACCAGTTTGTTGTCTACTGATGCACCATCGTTTTAACCGCGATACTTGCCTAGGTGTGAAAGAACTCTGTAGCTTGTCCATGAGAACTAGTGATGCAAGGCCACAGAACGTGGGGCCCCCTGCAAGAGAACACAGAGAGGAGAGTTGTACTGTAAAACTACAGAAGATTACAATATTTTTGACCTGAAGTATGTGGTGTCACAGTCACCCGGTGTATTATCAGCGAGTTTGAGACCGATGGTATTCAGACATTTTCATGATTTTTTAATCAGCTGTTTTTATCAGACACTTTTCTACAGCAGTGTTTCTGTAACAAATAGCATCAGTTGGCAATCAGCCAGCGTCCTGAACAATATACTAATCAGAAGCCCTGATCATGTGTACAGGAGAAATGTTGCCCCTAGTTCAACCATCTTTAAAAGTAACCTTTGGGTGAGTCAAATTGTTTTAAGTTTCAAATATTTCTTGGTTCTTAGTAGCAATAACAAGAATACAAATATCCTGACAAAGGACAGATCCTGCCATTGGTAAGCCCAGTTACAACAGAGCCCAGTCCAACAGAGCGACCCCTACAACCTGGAACTCACCACGGGCCTTGAGGACGCCTAGGATCTGCCCCGGTGTCTTAAGTGGGCTTCCAAGGGCGTTTAGTGCAAATAATCCTTGATTCTTGGTAGTGATGACATTAATGCAAACTATCCTGCCAAAATTGATCCTGCCCTTGGAGCCCCACTAAAAGACACTGGGAACAGATCCTAAGCCCCTGAAACATCCGCAGATCACTGTGGACAGAGGTGAGGTGAAATGGGGTTTAACGCTGCGTCCAAGAGTATTGCACTTATATAGCGACGTGCATGCCCACTGAGATACTATGCCGCAGTTTTACATGAATACCCCACTCACACACAGTATACTGACTCCGAGCCGACCAGTAGTTGTTTTAGCCCCTTAATACCGAGCGTGAGACATGGTAACAACAAGTAAATTTTTTAAAGGTCTTTTGGTATGATGTTGCTGGGGATTGAACCCCGGACCTTCCACTCTCCGGGCGGATGCTCTACCACTAGACCATGGAGGCGGTCCCTATGAACAAAGAGAAACTCCACACACTAGAACTTACCATGGGCCTCTGCATCTGGGCCCTGGGCAATGCCTCCCTCGTAGGACTGAAGCAGAAGGAGTACCAAGTATCAGTCACTGGACCAACAACACCTTCATCTTGTCCATAACTTAGCACCCACAGCTAAGATTAGTTGGATATTTGTATTTCGGAGATAAATTTACTGTGTTTTGAAATTTGATGTAGTCCCAGTGTAGAGTAGATACCTCTCATTTAAATTGAGTGCTGTAACCACTTCTTTTTAACCAATCAGAATCAAGCATTCTTCAATGTCATGTAGAATCAATACAATACATAATCACAGTGTTGATCCCAAAGATGAAAAAGGTATCAAAGCACACCTCTTTAAGATGGATTTATCTAGGATTACGAAATAGGACATGCTCTATTTTCATAAGACAAGGGACACTGGGGGCCTATGGCGGCTGAAGTACTGTAAGACAAGGGACACTGGGGACCTATGGCGGCTGAAGTGCTGTAAGACAAGGGGCACTGCGGACCTATGGCGGCTGAAGTGCTGTAAGACAAGGGACACTTGGGGCCTATGGGGGCTGAAGTGCTGTAAGACAAGGGACACTTGGGGCCTATGGGGGCTGAAGTACTGTAAGACAAGGGACACTTGGGGCCTATGGGGGCTGAAGTACTGTAAGACAAGGGACACTTGGGGCCTATGGGGGCTGAAGTGCTGTAAGACAAGGGACACTTGGGGCCTATGGGGGCTGAAGTACTGTAAGACAAGGGACACTTGGGGCCTATGGGGGCTGAAGTGCTGTAAGACAAGGGACACTTGGGGCCTATGGGGGCTGAAGTACTGTAAGACAAGGGACACTGGGGACCTATGGGGGCTGAAGTGCTGTAAGACAAGGGACACTTGGGGCCTATGGGGGCTGAAGTGCTGTAAGACAAGGGACACTGGGGACCTATGGGGGCTGAAGTGCTGTAAGACAAGGGACACTTGGGGCCTATGGGGGCTGAAGTGCTGTAAGACAAGGGACACTGCGGACCTATGGCGGCTGAAGTGCTGTAAGACAAGGGACACTGGGGACCTATGGGGGCTGAAGTGCTGTAAGACAAGGGACACTGGGGACATATGGGGGCTGAAGTGCTGTAAGACAAGGGGCACTGCGGACATATGGGGGCTGAAGTGCTGTAAGACAAGGGACACTGGGGACATATGGGGGCTGAAGTGCTGTAAGACAAGGGACACTGGGGACATATGGGGGCTGAAGTGCTGTAAGACAAGGGGCACTGCGGACATATGGGGGCTGAAGTGCTGTAAGACAAGGGACACTAGGGACCTATGGGGGCTGAAGTGCTGTAAGACAAGGGACACTGGGGACCTATGGGGGCTGAAGTACTGTAAGACAAGGGACACTGGGGGCCTATGGGGGCTGAAGTGCTGTAAGACAAGGGACACTGCGGACCTATGGCGGCTGAAGTGCTGTAAGACAAGGGACACTGGGGGCCTATGGGGGCTGAAGTACTGTAAGACAAGGGACACTGGGGACCTATGGGGGCTGAAGTGCTGTAAGACAAGGGACACTGGGGACCTATGGCATCTGAAGTGGTATAAGACAAGGGACACTGGGGACCTATGGGGGCTGAAGTGCTGTAAGACAAGGGACACTGGGGACCTATGGGGGCTGAAGTGCTGTAAGACAAGGGACACTGGGGGCCTATGGGGGCTGAAGTACTGTAAGACAAGGGGCACTGCGGACCTATGGGGGCTGAAGTGCTGTAAGACAAGGGACACTGGGGACCTATGGGGGCTGAAGTGCTGTAAGACAAGGGGCACTGGGGAGCTATGGGGGCTGAAGAACTGTAAGACAAGGGACACTGGGGACCTATGGGGGCTGAAGTACTGTAAGACAAGGGACACTGGGGACTTATGGGGGCTAAAGTGCTGTAAGACAAGGGACACTTGGGGCCTATGGGGGCTGAAGTACTGTAAGACAAGGGACACTTGGGGCCTACGGGGGCTGAAGTACTGTAAGACAAGGGACACTTGGGGCCTATGGGGGCTGAAGTACTGTAAGACAAGGGACACTGGGGACCTATGGGGGCTGAAGTACTGTAAGACAAGGGACACTTGGGGCCTATGGGGGCTGAAGTACTGTAAGACAAGGGACACTTGGGGCCTACGGGGGCTGAAGTACTGTAAGACAAGGGACACTGGGGCCTATGGGGGCTGAAGTGCTGTAAGACAAGGGACACTTGGGGCCTACGGGGGCTGAAGTACTGTAAGACAAGGGGCACTGCGGACCTATGGGGGCTGAAGTGCTGTAAGACAAGGGACACTTGGGACTTATGGGGGCTAAAGTGCTGTAAGACAAGGGGCACTGGGGAGCTATGGGGGCTGAAGAACTGTAAGACAAGGGACACTGGGGACCTATGGGGGCTGAAGTACTGTAAGACAAGGGACACTGGGGACCTATGGGGGCTGAAGTACTGTAAGACAAGGGACACTTGGGGCCTATGGGGGCTGAAGTACTGTAAGACAAGGGACACTTGGGGCCTACGGGGGCTGAAGTACTGTAAGACAAGGGACACTGGGGCCTATGGGGGCTGAAGTACTGTAAGACAAGGGACACTGGGGCCTATGGGGGCTAAAGTACTGTAAGACAAGGGGCACTGGGGACCTATTGGGGCTAAAGTACTGTAAGACAAGGGGCACTGGGGGCCTAGGGCTGAATACATTGTGATTCAGTACCCCGTACAACCCCTTGATAAGACAGTGAGTATTCAGCAGCTCACAGAGATGTCCACTCACCACACTGTTCTTTATGTAGTCTGCAGTGGTCTGGATGTTGATGCCGCTCCAGTCTTTCAGCATGTAGCTGATGCAAGAGGCGCAGTAGACAAACCTCATGTCATGCTCACTGCCCTCCGGCATCGCACAGAAGCTGAAACACACTCAGGTCAGTGAACACAGAACCCCCATATGTTGTCATCTCTTTTAAACATGAGGGTCGGTTATGAGGTTAACTCCACGCATGGTTGTAGCCACCTATCACAGTGAGGAGCCATGTCTGGTGGCAGCAGTAGAGAGCTCCCACAGTGGGCAATCGCTGTGAGGAGCTTGAAGCTGTTCATTGCATAGTGACTACAGATAGTGACTGCAAATATATATTGATAGACAAATTGTTTTTTCTTAAAATTATGGAAATTATTTGAAATGGGGCATGGCTACTAAACTTCAAGGCATATTATCCAATTATGAGACCCTGGTAACATTAATTGAAATGAAGCAGATGGACAGACATATCTTGAACTGTTTTCTGTGATTTAGCGGTAACTTCAATATGTTATGCGTTTATGGAGCCATTACGTTAAAAACAGTTTGCATACCGTGTAATTCCATACACACATTAAACATATTAGTCAATTCTTATAAACATCACAAACTTCACCATGTTCACATACTGCTTATTTAAACACACAAAACACTGTAGACATCAGGGAATCAGTGACACCATATTAAGCGCAATGCTGCAACACAAGCCCTGCCCATTCTATTATCTGCCAACCAGGAAAGAATGTGAGTGTTAGTTGGCGAGGCCCAAATTTGATAGGATTATGGAAACATAAACTAAACAAACCCTGCTTGGTTAGCCAATTAAATGCCTCAGAATCACCTGCAGTTATGTATTTTTGGGACAAAAACAAGTGTGCCCCCAGTGTCACCCAGATCACCAAGGGGAGTGAGTAGGGGTTTAGTAACATTCCAGCAAAATCACGACGGGGGACACCGGAAATGGGCTCCACACATTGTACCCATATGGGGACATGAACCTGGGCCTTGGGCCTGACGAGCGAACGCTTTAACCACAAGGCTACCCAACTGCCCAGATCAGCATTGTAACGGAGTGGACTTACCTGCCATCGTCTTGCTGCAGAGCCTTGAGGCCGCTGATGATGGCATCCTTGTCAAGTCGGGACAAATCATCTCCGAGAATCACCAGTGATGCCAGGGCTGTGTAGGTCATGGCGATGTGTCCACTGTCGTATACAATAGGTTTTGTACGTGCCTGAAGGCGAAAAGGGACAATGTAACATACAATGTCTTCAGTCATCATATTCACACTATTAAATACATATCGGATTGTAATGACATGTCAAAAGCAGGTGCAGAAAGTCTTTTCAACTTCCACATGTTGTACTTTGATTGCTTTGACCAGTGAGAGTTTGGACCAGTGAGTGTTTATTCCGATGAGCGCTCAGACCAATGAGTGTCCAGACCAATGAGTGCTTTGACTAATGAGTGCTAAGACAATGAGTGCTTAGACCAGAGAGAACTTAGACCAATTAGTTGTTAGATGAGGGTGAACTTTGATCAATGAGTTCTTAGACCAATGAGCGCTTAGACCAGTGAGTGCTTAAACCAGGGAGTGCTTAGACCAGGGAGTACTTTGACAAATGAGTGCTTAGACCAGGGAGTACACAGACCAATGAGTGTTCAGACCAGTGCGTGTTTAGACAAGTGATTGCTTAGACCAATGAGTTCTCATACCAGTGAGTGCTTAGACCAATGAGTGCTTAGAGCCATCGAGTGCTAAGAACCATTGAGTTCTCATACCAGTGAGTGGTTCATCCAATTAGTGAGTGAGTGAGTGAATATGGTTTTACGCCGCTTTTAGCAATATTCCAGCAATATCACGGCGGGGGACACCAGAAATGGGCTTCACACATTGTACCCATGTCGGGAATTGAACCCGGGTCTTCGGCGTGACGAGCGAACGCTTTAACCACTAGGCTACCCAACCGCCCCTCATCCAATTAGTGCTTAGATCAGTGAGTGTGTAGATCAATGAGTGCTTAGACCAGGGAGTGCTTAGACCAAGGAGTGTTTAGAACCATTGAGTACTTAGACCAATGAGTGCTCAGACCAATGAGTGCTTAGACCAATGTGTGGTCAGACCTGTGAGAGTATATACCAATAAGTGCTTAGACCAGGGAAAGTTTAGACAAGTGAGCGCTTAGACCAGGGAGTGTTCAGACCAATATGTGCTTAGACCAATATGTGCTTAGACCAATAAGTCCTTAGACCAATGAGTGCTTAGACCAATTAGTACTTAGACCAATGAGTTCTCAGACCATGGGGTGCTCAGGGGAGAGTTCAGACCAGTGAGTGCTTAGGCCAGGAAGAGTTTAGACCAACAAATGCTTAAACCAGGGTGTGCTTAAACTAATGAGTGCTTAGACCAGGGAGAGTTAAGACCAATGAGTACTTAGACCAATGTGTGGTCAGACCAGGGAGAGTATATACCAATAAGTGCTTAGACCAGGGAGTGTTTGGACAAGTGAGCGCTTAGACCAGGGAGTGTTCAGACCAATATGTGCTTAGACCAATATGTGCTTAGACCAATGAGTGCTTAGACCAACTAGTACTTAGACCAATGAGTTCTCAGACCAGGGGGTGCTTAGACTGATGAGTGCTTAGAGCAATGAGGTCTCAGACAGGGTAGAGTTCAGACCAGTGAGTGCTTAGACCAGGTAGAGTTTAGACCAACAAATGCTTAAACCAGGGTGTGCTTAGACTAATGAGTGCTTAGACCAGGGAGACTTAAGACCAATAAGTGCTTAGACCAGGGAGAGCTTAGACCAGTGAGTGATTAAACCAGTGAGTGCTTAGACCAATGACTGCTTGGGTCAGGGAGTGCTCAGATTAGGGAGTGCTTAGACCAGGAAGAGTTAAGACCAATAAGTGCTTTGACTAATGAATTCTCAGACCAATGAGTGCTTTGACCAGGAAGAATTTAGACCAATGACTGCTTAGACCAGTGAGTGTTTAGACCAATGACTGCTTAGGCCAGGGAGTGCTCAGACCAGGGGGTGCTTAGACCTGGGAGAGTTTAGACCAATAAGTGCTTAGACTAATGAATTCTTAGACCAATGAGTGCTTTGACCAGGAAGAATTTAGACCAATGACTGCTAAGACCAGGGATAGTTTAGACCAGTGAGTTCTTCGACTGATGAGTTCTTAGACCGGGGAGAGTTAAGACCAATGAGTGCTTTGACCAGATAGAATTTAGACCAATGACTGCTTAGACCAATGAGTTCTTAGACCAATGACTGCTTAGACCACTGAGTTTTTAGACCAATGAGCACTTAGACCACTGAGTGCTTAGACCAATGAGTTCATAGACCAATGAGTGTTTAGATCAGGGAGAGCTTAGACCAGGGAGCGCTTAGAACCATTGAGTGCTTAGACCAAAGAGTGCTTTGACTAATGAGCTCTTAGACCAATGAGTGCTTTAACCAGGAAGAATATAGACACATGACTGCTTAGACCAGGGAGAGTATAGACCAGTGACTGCTTAGACCAGGAAGAGTTTAGACCAATGAGTGCTTTGAATAATGAGTTCTTAGACCAATGAGTGCTCAGATTAGGGAGTGCTTAGACCAGGAAGAGTTCAGACCAATGAGTGCTTTGACTAATGAATTCTCAGACCAATGAGTGCTCTGACCAGGAAGAATTTAGACCAATGACTCCTTAGACCAGGGATAGTTTAGACCAGTGAGTTCTTCGACTAATGAGTTCTTAGACCGGGGAGAGTTCAGACCAATGAGTGCTTTGACCAGGAAGAATTTAGACCAATGAGTTCTTAGACCAATGAGTTCTTAGACCAATGAGTGCTTAGACCAATGAGTGCTTAGACCAATGAGTTCTTAGACCAATGAGTGCTTAGACCAATGAGTGTTTAGACCAGGGAAAGCTAAGACCAGGGAGAGATTAGAACCATTGAGTGCTTAGACCAATGAGTGCTTTGACTAATGAGCTCTTAGACCAATGAGTGCTTTGACCAGGAAGAATATAGACCAATGACTGCTTAGACCAGGGAGAGTATAGACCAGTGACTGCTTAGACCAGGGAGAGTTTAGACCAATGAGTGCTTTGACTAATGAATTCTTAGACAAATGAGTGCTTTGACTAATGAGTCCTTATACCAATGACTGTTTAGACCAGGGAGTGCTTAGCCCAGGGAGTGTTCAGACCAGGGAGAGTTCAGACCAGTGAGTGCTTAGACCAATGAGTGCTTAGACCAGTGAGTGTTTACACCAATGACTGCTTTGACCAATGAGTTCTTAGACCATGGGGTGCTTAGGCCAATAAGTTCTCTGACCAGTGAGTTATTTGACCAATGTGTGCTTAGACCGGGGAGAGTTCAGACCAATGAGTGCTTTGACTAATGAATTCTTAGACCAATGAGTGCTTTGAGCAGGAAGAATTTAGACCAATGACTGCTTAGACCAGGGATAGTATAGACCAATGACTGCTTAGACCAGGGATAGTTTAGACCAGTGAGTTCTTCGACTGATGAGTTCTTAGACTGGGGAGAGTTCAAATCAATGAGTGCTTTGACCAGGAAGAATTTACACCAATGACTGCTTAGACCAGGGAGAGTATAGACCAATGATTGCTTAGACAAGGGACAAGGTATGGTGCTGACAAACCTAAAAACATCATTGCGACGAACCAGGATTCGAACCCACAATTATAAGTTTCTGGTGTGCCCAAAGGCCACAACTCTGCAGACAGAAGTAACAACACACTCAGCTATACATCAGCTATATGATGATGGCCTGTAAATAATCAAGTGTGCACCAGACAATCCAATGATTTCTATTGTCATGATTGTGAGCAATGATCACTGTCAGGTAAGATGCCACACACACCATTTGGTCACCTCTCATGACCAGCATAGGTTGCTGGGGACTTCCTCTAACCCGGATTCACCATGAGGTGGTTCAGACACTTACAATTCAGAGATATGTTTAAGTGCTAAAATAATTGAATATTTGTCGTGTTTGTGAGCATTCACAGTGAATATGAATTTGCACTGCATCACTAATTTAGTAGCAGATGGGATATGTGTTGTATCTCTAACAGATTGCGCATCAATATATAAACATGGTCAGCATTCATGATCAATATGGTAACCATGGTAAAGAAACAAGAAGGTAACACGATTAGTAGCTTCATTGAATATGACTTTATCAGAGACTGAGAACCATCAACCTAGCACACAACGTACTGCCACCATGTAGCCCTGGTTAGCCACCAGCATCAATCAATGAAGCGACCAGTGCGATGGTCTGAGGCTAATGTATTACTGAGCAGGCTTTGTTCGGAGACTGGATGTTCCATGCTTCAGTGAAACAGGTGCTCCTCACTATGCTTGTATTGAGTGATAAACACATTAACAGCATATACTTCCATAAATCGTATACATCAGTGTTCATTAACATGGTCATGGAAGTTCAGCATATGAAAATTAAAGTTTGTCCCCAGCGTTTGTTTTAGGTCCTGATCTTATTATTATTATTATTATTATAATAATAATTATCATTATTATAATAATTATCATTATTGGAGTGAGTGAGTGAGTTGGGTTTAACGCCGCTTATAACATTTTTACAGTTATATCGCGGCGTGTCAGCTTAATGTGGGAGGAAAGCCCGAAGTGATGCAGGTCTCAGATGTTTACCACTTCGGTGAAACCCACGAGCACAGGTATGGTGCTGACAAACCTAGAAACATAATCAGGGCGAACCGGGATTCGAACCCACAATCATAGGTTTCTGGCGTGCCCAAGGGACGCAACTGTGCACAGCGAATCACAGCGCCTTGGACGACTGGGCCACCCGTGCCCCCAAAGGTGTTTTGATTGATTCGAGTTCATTTCATGGAATGTTTGCCTTTTAAAATTTTGGTTTAAGGAACCAAGGTAAACTTTAGTTGTTGTAACTGAGTAAGCATGTCACAGGTGGCAATAGGCCCCCCAAACATATATCAAATGACAATACAGGCGAATAGTATTCAAACTAGTCAAATGTTATGAAGAAATCACTAAACTTTTCTGATAAACGTCACTGTACACATATGGGGGGCATAACACCCCCCTGCACTATGTCATTCCTCATACACAACGTGACCTCATAAAATAATGTAGCCCAGTTGCGCCATCTGGTGTTCGGTTTGTGAATGTTGACCTTTAGCAACTGGTGTTCACTGATTCTGTTTTTGATGGCTTTTCTTAGCTACTTTTTTTATGTCTGTGTTGTTCACTAATGTTCTTCAAAATTTTGATTACATATTCCACAATTCATATAGATCTTTGCAAATGATAATTATTCGTAGTAAGGTTTTCTTCCTGCTCCGCCCTGTACTTTCATTTACAGTATACACTCTTGCCACAGACCAATGAGACCAAATCGTGAAAACCATTGTGTACATCGGACCCATGAAGATCCGGTTAGAATAGGTCTTCAGCAACCCATTCTTGCTGTAAAAGATGACTATGCTTGTTGTAAGCGGCGATCGGGTGATGAGGCTTGGTTTCTGCGTGTCATCGTATCCCAATTGCGTGGATTGATGTTCATGATGTCAGTCACTGGATGGTCTGGTCCAGATTTGATCATTTACAGACTGCAGTCATATAGCTGGCATATTGCTGAGTGCGGCGTTAAACAACCAACAAACAAACAGTGTCTTTAAAGTTTGACTACATTCAGTTCAGCCCACTTATGCATTACCTATTGAAAAAGCTGTTGACATGGTAAAAACAAAAACACTGTCTGCAACTTTAGCAAATAGTCCGAAGCCCGAGTTCAGTAAAACATTTTCTGGTGGAGTAAAATAACATAATACCAGTCCATAAGTAAGACTAAATAAAGTATACTGGACACTTTTCTTTGTAAACAAACACGCTAATACTGAAATCAGAGCTGTCAGTCAGAGCGATACAGATTGTTGGGCATAAAAATTATGATGTCCTACAACATGGCGCTGTGAGGAGTATGATAAAGTACCTTCACACAACAAAGTGACCGTGTTGGTAGCTCTCGATAGGTGTTCAATGTCGGCACATTTCACGAATACAATGAACAACACACAGATGATCAACAGATGTAGTTTGCTGAATGGACTGTGGAAGACATGATTGATCATCACATCCTGCCAGCCTGCGGTAGAGGGACAAGACTGACTGCAGATGCAGGGAGTTCTGGGTGGGAGAGTGGACATGCATCATGGGCTTCAATAACTTGCAATAGCCAAGTCCAGAACCAATAGGATTCAAGGGCTGCATGGCAATCAGACATGCTTTGCCTGTATTGCCAGCTTAATTTACAGCCTACAACATACTACATTTGGTTTTGGTTATCAAAAGCCACCTACACCCCCCCCAACCCACCCCCACCCCCCCAGATCTGCCTATGCAGCATCAGAAAGTGGAACTAGTCCTATAGTCCTTGTCAAACTGCCCAACAGTTTAAAGAAATTTGCCATTATTAAGGGTTTTACTATATGTTATCATTATAAAGATGAAAGCAGTTAGTTTTTATTGCTGCTATTTCCAATCAATAAAGTCACAGAGCCTGACGATTTGATCCATTAAGTCACCTCCTAGGACAAACACAGGTTGCTGGGGTTCAATTCTAAGCCAAAATCCCCACGGGTGCCATTCAGTCTAAGAGAAGCCATTGAGGATGCTGTGTCCAGCAACAGAGGTTGTAGCAACGCGAGTGGTATTCCCTACCTTGGCCGGATCATGGTGATGCCCCAGTGTTGAGGAACCTCTGAACCCACACTGGGGTCGGTTTGCACCTGAAATAGGCACCACAGGAGCTCTGACTTTAACATGTTTAAAGAGACTGTTAGCCAGTGATACTATAGCTGATCACTAAACATGCTGATAACTTACAGAGTGGAGTTGACCACAGTCATGCTTGGAATTGATCTTGAAACATAACATCAGATCATGTCAAATAAACATGATTACCTATGTTTTCTTTTCACTTCATACATTGTTTATAGACAACTCCAGACTTCACTAATGAAGTGTTTAGTCAGAATTCTTTTTTTCTTGCCTCCAAGATAGTTAGTTACCAAATTGTGGAAAACATCAAGAAAACATCCAAAAGTTGATCAAAACAGGAAGGCCTAATACGTTCAACCAATACATTCAACCAACATGTTCAACCAACAACTGTTCAATCAACAACTGTTCAACCAACAATACATTCATCCAACAACTGTACAACCAACAACACATTCAACCAACAACACGTTCAACCAACAACACGTTCAACCAACAATACATTCAACCAACAACTGTACAACCAACAACACATTCAACCAACAACTGTACAACCAACAACTGTACAACCAACAACACATTCAACCAATAACTGTACAACCAACAACACATTCAACCAACAATACATTCAACCAACAACTGTACAACCAACAACACATTCAACCAACAACTGTACAACCAACGACACATTCAACCAACAATACATTCAACCAACAACTGTACAACCAACAACACATTCAACCAACAACTGTACATCCAACAACACATTCAACCAACAACTGTACAACCAACAACACATTCAACCAACAACACATTCAACCAACAACTGTACAACCAACAATACATTCAACCAACAACACATTCAACCAACAACTGTACAACCAACAACACATTCAACCAACACCTGTACAACCAACGACACATTCAACCAACAATACATTCAACCAACAACTGTACAACAACAACACATTCAACCAACAACAGTACAACCAACGACATTCAACCAACAATACATTCAACCAACAACACGTTCAACCAACAACACATTCAACCAACAACACGTTCAACCAACAACACATTCAACCAACAATACATTCAACCAACAACACGTTCAACCAACATGTTCAATCAGCAACACATTCAATCAACAACACGTTCAACCAACAACATGATCTTGAGACTCATGTCCATCAACCAGGTATAACATATGCATTAACAAACCTTGTTCATCTGGCAAAACTTGGAGGGAGTAAATCCAGTCAATGATGTCTTGTTTCTCCTTCTCAATGGCATTCAAGGCACACAGAACATCAAGGCCAGACAGGGCAAAAAAGGCAATGGTCATTCTGTAAACAGCAGCAACAACGTGGTTAGACATCACGCCATTAACCTCTGTGTAGATGTATGACAACAATAAGGTAGAGATACAATCTAGTTTGTATGTTTGTTTGTTGTTTAACGCCATACTCAGAAATATTCCAGCTATATGAGTGAGTGAGTGAGTGAGTGAGTAAGGTTTTACGCCGCTTTTAACAATATTCCAGCAATATCACGGCGGGGGACACCAGAAATGGGCTTCACACATTTTACCCATGTCGGGAATCGAACCCGGGTCTTCGGCGTGACGAGCGAACGCTTTAACCACTAGGCTACCCGACCGCCCCTCTAGCTATATGAAGACGGTCTGTAAATAATCCAGTCTGGAACAGACAATCCACTGATAGACATCATGAACTTCGCTCCACGCAATTGGGACATAATGACATGCATCAACCAAGTCGGTGAGCTTGCCCACCCGATCCCGTTAGTCGCCTCTTACGACAAGCATAGTTGACTCTCACGGCAAGCAAGGGTTGCTGAAGACCTATTCTACCCCGGATCTTCACGGGTCTACAATTAAGTATTACAATCAGCTCTAAGACAGTTGACATGATGTTATTCTTGTATATTGTCATGGTATGCATATGGACTGGATTAAACCATAAATACCTGTGCTAGCAACCTGTTAGTTAAATTGCAACCATATTTATGCGAGTCAGACAGCACATCCAGTCCCTGGCACAAGTCAAACAGTAGTTATTACCATGATACTCATCTGTTAATTTCCTCAATATATAGATCCAAGATGTGTCTTTAGGTGAGGTGAAATTGGGTGTAACGTCCATCCAAGATTATTGAACTTTATAGCAACGTGCATGTACATGTGTGGCTACTTGTATTAGTCCTGATGCCAATTTATAGTGCTAGCACACTGAGATACCATTCTGCAGTTTAACATGAATACCTCACTCAGACATACTATACTGACTTCGCGCCGACCAGTCCTGTTTTAGCCCCTTAATGCCGAGCGCCAGACAGGGTAACAACAAGTACCATCTTTTAACGTCTTTTGGTATGACGCGGCCAGGGATCGAATCCCGAACCTTCCGCTCTCTGGCTCTTCCAGTGGACCACAGAGGCAGTCAGATGTATCTTTATGTGACATGAAGGTGTGATGAGGTGAAATGGGGTTTTACGCAGCCTTCAAAGTTATTGCACTTTTATATTGTTTTTATAGTGCTGGCCAACTGATATTCCATGCTGCAGCTGAACATGGGTACCACACTCAGACTCGGTCCACTGACTCCCAAGCCGATCAGTGCTTATTTTACTCCGTTAATGCCGAGCACTAGGCAGGTAATCAACAAGTAGAATATTTATATGTCTTTTGGAATGACACGGCCAGGTTTAATGAAGGTGCAAGGATCTTTACATGTAATGAAGGTGCAAGTATCTTTATATGTAATGAAGGTAAAGTAGGCACAATCAATAGGTAATAATTTGTTTACAGTAAAGGTGAAATTTCGGTATAGATCCTCATACCGTTATCAACCAAGCAAAGGTGCAAGCATAGTTATATGTAATGAAGGTTCAAGTACCTTTATGTGTATTGATGGCACAAAGAGTAACCCCTCACTCTGAGGTGAATGTTTTGATGCACAGTATACAGGGAATGCAGGTGTTTAAGGGAAGAGCTTTGAGCAAATACTCCTCCATAAATTGTGTCTTCAATGTAGATCTAGGTTACCTGTAGATTTGACAGCCTTAAATTTAACATTTAAAACATCAGACTATGCATAGGGTTCCAATTTCAATTTAGCGTGGATAAAACAACTGGTAACCTAGCTCTACATTGAAAACGCTGTACGTTTAACTCCATTCTACCAGGACTAAATAAAATGATATGTTCTTGGTGTTAGCAAATATAGTTGAGTGAAGCGGTATGAGTTGAGTCCAATGTTTTGATTGGGTGGTTGATCTAACAGTCTTTAGACAAAATATGCTGCTCTATATGCTAAAGCAGTTTTGACGAGCATAGAAAGCATTATCAGAGCAACTTTGTAAGGTAACATAAAGTAGGAACTCCTAAAGAAAACTAAGCAAGCCTTGCAAGTTTTCGTTCTACACGTCACTTTTAAGACTTCATATTGGTCATTGTAACGCAAAAGATAAGACAGCCCACTCTTATATTAAAAAGCACCTCATATTGAGCTCTCTCATGTTCCTAAAACTTTAAACACAGTCTATTCGTAGATGTCCACTCTGTTTTCTGCACAAAATGTATTGCCACACATATTTGAAATATTACAGTAACCTGCACTTTTGCATTTTCTAACCCATAATTGTACATACAATTATTTTTTAAACTACCTACCGAGAATGACTGAAAGAGAAGTACTATTCTATAAATATTAGCTTCTGCAGTGATTCAGCTGTCAAATAAGAGGGGCTGTTTCAATCAGAGGGGGTTTATGGTGATTTGATAATCTCTGAATGACTAGGCAGATTCCAAATTTATAGTTGAATGCATTCTTACCGTTGCGTGATCTACATTACCGTCGTGAAATCTTCCTTACAAAAAACTAATACAGTGTATCTGATGACACCTGGGCGAGGCCTTCAAAAGTTGTCTCTGGCCGTTTTAGCAATCAAACTGATCGATTGGTAGCTGTATATCCACAACTAAAGACAATAAAATAAATAAATGTCAAACTTTCACTCGAGAACATCTCACTTTCTAGAACACCTAAAACTTTTGGGGGTGAACGTATGATTCGGTTTTCGTGACTCGCAGTCGTTGGTTACTCATGCTAAGTGTTGCATCATTAAGTGAGTTTGACTGCCGAAACAGCATATACTTGTTAATCTTGCCTATTTGTATCCAACGATGCGCAACTTGATGGCAGGATTTGAAGAGTTCGAACAAAAAACTTGACATGCTTTTCTCTCACAAATTCATTCCCAGCCATTTTCTACACCGGAAGTAGTATGACTGTCATGAAGCAAAATCCGGACAACCTATGAAAAACCGGAACAAAACCAAACCTTTTGCCCATGGTCATTTCCGTGGCACCTTGTTCTCTGCATATAAATTAGCAGTAAATTCGCTTTCCACCCTTTCCAAATCCTTCAAACCGAGAAAAAACACTGTCCATGTAACTCTTTGTACACACGGGTCTATGCACAGATATGGCGCTTATAACGCATGGTAGCCCTGGCAGTGTAGAAATACTTCGAACTCTAAGCATTTTATCATCCTCGCACACTTTATGATCTATAGTATTACTCTCTACGAACATCTCGAGATGGGGACCGCTTTGGAAACTACAGCTCTGGAAAATATTAACATCCCCAGTAAATCGGATAATGTCTGAAATGGTTAGTGCCAAGAGAGTTACCTCCCTTTGACCAGGTGTTGGTTGAGGTAGACGGGCACAATTCTGAATGCAACTTGAATGTCCTTTGCAACAATCTCCACTCTTACAAAAGACTGATTCTTTTTAATTCAAATATTTCATTTAGGGTCTTGTCATGTATTACAGGGATGGGTGGGCGAGAGGTTTTTGACGCTCTAACGTACCGATTATATAATGACGTTCTCCCAATGCTTGTACATATTTTTCATGAACCTCCAAAAAAAAGACAAAATGCAAAATCACTGTATATTTTATAAAACAATTTTCATCTTTTTCATGGCCTTCCCCAAATATGGGTAGTATTTTTGATGACCCTCCCCTAGAGATTGTAATTAATATTACTGGGTGACGCCTCGTGAATCCCTTGACTGACCCCACCCTGTAATAAATGTAACTCTTTCCCTTTACAAAAGGAGGATCCTATTAAAATATCCCATTAACCTTCACTAAAGAAAGAAAGAATCTATTTCTCTATATATGTACTCATATTAATCTTTTTCTAAAAAGGGATTAAGGTGAGTTGAGGTGAAATTGGGTTTAACGTCGCGTCCAAGATTATTGCACTTATATAGCGACGTGCATGCACGTGTATGTGTGTGTGTGGCTGCTTGTACTAGTCCGGACTGATGCCGATTTATAGTGCTAGCTCACTGAGATACCATGCCGCAGTTTAACATGAATACCCCACTCAGACACAGTATACTGACTCCGAGCCGACCAGTCCTTGTTTTAGCCCCTTAATGCCGAGCGCCAGACAGGGTAACAACAAGTACAATCTTTTAACGTCTTTTTGTATGACGCGGCCAGGGATCGAATCCGTGACCTTCCGCTCTCCGGGCGGACGCTCTACCACAAGACCACGGAGGCGGTCAAAAGGGATTAAACTTAACTATATATTTATATCCCGCGAGGATCAGGTTTGTCACAGGTCCCCAGCTTTCTTTAACACGTGATATTGACACGACTGGATCGTGGGGCTAGCCTCTGTAACATGGTTGATTTTATGTCATCATAACCCGAAAGCGTGGATGTTTCTTCATGATATCAATCACCGTTTTGTCTGCCCCAGGCTCAATTATTTACCGGCCGCTGTGATTATAGCTTTGTATTGATCACAGCGGCGTAAAACAACCAAAACAAGTATTTTCATTGACCCCCAAAAGGATGCTGTTCAGCTATTTGCCTTTGGAAAAGAAGGATTCTATTCAACTACATGTATTTCACTTTCATTTACTAAACAAGGAGATCCGGGGTAGAATAGGTCTTCAGCAACCCATGCTTGCTGTAAAAGGCGACTATGCTTGTCGTAAGAGGCGACTAACGGGGTCGGGTGGTCAGGCACGCTGACCTGGTTGATGCGTAGTATCGTATCCCAATTGCGTGGATCCTTCACTGGATTGTCTGGTCTAGACTCGATTATTTGCAGACCGCAGCCATATAGCTGGAATATTGCTGAGTGCAGAGTTAAACAACAAAAACAAACAAACAAACAAACAAACAAACAAACAAACTAAACAACGATTATATACATATTTCTATTTATATTTACCGAAGACAGACTATATTCAACAATCCTCTGGTTCTCTACCAAGGAAGGGTTATATTCAACAGTCCCATTTACCTTTACTGATTACTTAACGACTATCAGAATTAAACAAGACATGCACACCTGCTCTACTCCCACTGTGGTAGATTTGCCCCAAATTATGTTTCTTGGTTTGTCAGCACCATACCCATTCTCGTGGGTTTCACCAAAGTGGTAAACGTCTGAGACCTGCATCACTTCGGGCTTTTCCCCTACCGTGTGCTTACATGGAGAGATATAACTGGAATTCAAACCAATGTTTTTATTGGTCCAGGCATCCGTCGACAAACCAATGTTTCTATTGGTCCAGGCATCCATGACAAACCAATGTTTCTATTGGTCCAGGCATCCATCGACAAACCAATGTTTCTATTGGTCCAGGCATCCATCGACAAACGATTTGTCGAATGTTTCCTTATTGGTCCCAGCCCTATCGACAAACCAATGTTTCTATTGGTCCAGGCATCCATTGACAAACTCATGTTTCTATTGGTCCAGGCATCCATCGACAAACCAATGTTTCTATTGGTCCAGGCATCCATCGACAAACTCATGTTTCTATTGGTCCAGGCATCCATCGACAAACTCATGTTTCTATTGGTCCAGGCATCCATCGAGCAAGCAGGGTTTCTATTGCCTCGGCATCCATCGACAAGCCAATGTTTCTATTGGTCCAGGCATCCATCGACAAACCAATGTTTCCTTATTTGTCCAGGCATCCATCGACAAACCAATGTTTCTATTTGTCCAGGCATCCATCGACAAACTCATGTTTCTATTGGTCCAGGCATCCATCGACAAACTCATGTTTCTATTGGTCCAGGCATCCATCGACAAACCAATGTTTCTATTGGTCCAGGCATCCATCGACAAACTCATGTTTCTATTTGTCCAGGCATCCATCGACAAACCAATGTTTCTATTTGTCCAGGCATCCATCGACAAACCAATGTTTCTATTGGTCCAGGCATCCATCGACAAACTCATGTTTCTATTGGTCCAGGCATCCATCGACAAACTCATGTTTCTATTGGTCCAGGCATCCATCGACAAACTCATGTTTCTATTTGTCCAGGCATCCATCGACAAACCAATGTTTCTATTTGTCCAGGCATCCATCGACAAACTCATGTTTCTATTTGTCCAGGCATCCATCGACAAACTCATGTTTCTATTGGTCCAGGCATCCATCGAGCAAGCAGGGTTTCTATTGCCTCGGCATCCATCGACAAGCCAATGTTTCTATTGGTCCAGGCATCCATCGACAAACCAATGTTTCCTTATTTGTCCAGGCATCCATCGACAAACCAATGTTTCTATTTGTCCAGGCATCCATCGACAAACTCATGTTTCTATTGGTCCAGGCATCCATCGACAAACTCATGTTTCTATTGGTCCAGGCATCCATCGACAAACCAATGTTTCTATTGGTCCAGGCATCCATCGACAAACTCATGTTTCTATTTGTCCAGGCATCCATCGACAAACCAATGTTTCTATTTGTCCAGGCATCCATCGACAAACCAATGTTTCTATTGGTCCAGGCATCCATCGACAAACTCATGTTTCTATTGGTCCAGGCATCCATCGACAAACTCATGTTTCTATTGGTCCAGGCATCCATCGACAAACTCATGTTTCTATTTGTCCAGGCATCCATCGACAAACCAATGTTTCTATTTGTCCAGGCATCCATCGACAAACTCATGTTTCTATTTGTCCAGGCATCCATCGACAAACTCATGTTTCTATTTGTCCAGGCATCCATCGACAAACTCATGTTTCTATTGGTCCAGGCATCCATCGACAAACTCATGTTTCTATTTGTCCAGGCATCCATCGACAAACTCATGTTTCTATTTGTCCAGGCATCCATCGACAAACCAATGTTTCTATTGGTCCAGGCATCCTTTGAAAAACTCATGTTTCTATTGGTCCAGGCATCCATCGACAAACTCATGTTTCTATTGGTCCAGGCATCCATCGACAAACTCATGTTTCTATTGGTCCAGGCATCTATCGACAAACCAATGTTTCTATTGGTCCAGGCATCCATCGACAAACCAATGTTTCTATTGGTCCAGGCATCCATCGACAAACTCATGTTTCTATTGGTCCAGGCATCCATTGACAAACCGATGTTTGGGGGGTGGGGTTGTGGGGTGTGTGTGTGTGTGTGTGTGTGTGGGGGGGGGGGGGGGGGGGGGGGGGGGGGGGGGGGGGTGGGGGTGGGGTGTGTGTGTGTGTGTGTGTGTGTGTGTGTGTGTGTATGATAAATCCGTCCGCTACTTTTGTAATGGACGTATGTCCATGTGTTTAATGTTCGAGTTCGCCTAGCTCCCATGCCTTGCCTAGACAATCTGATTACGACCTAAGAGGATTTATTTAAATAACATGACGTACGTTTTATTGGCGTAATTTACTATGCACAGGCTAACTTGACTATTTGATAGATCACCGTGTAATTTTACAAGTGAAACATCCTTTGAAGAGGAATAAAAATAAATTCATTATTGTAGAATTTGTTTATCTTTTTAACTCCTTGCAACGGAATTCATTGCAAATGGCGACATGTTGTCTTGGCACGCCACCAGTGAAATGAACTCGATATCTTGCTTGGGATCTGTGCAGTCCGGGAATCCGTGCGTTTTTTCCAGATTGTGCGCATATAGGTAGACCGTGTTGTATATGCTAAGTATTCCGAACGCTGGCTGTACACATGTTTACCCTGAAATGAGAAAAGGATCTGCCTGAAGTCGTTAGCAGTCAGTTGCAGGAGATAAAACTGGTACTGAAAACAGCAGCATGGAACGATCACCGTACCATAATGGAGGGCTCATCGTCTGCTTATGTTTTCTAGTCGTACAGATATAGCCTGTCTCTTTATCTGATTTCTAATCACATTGTTCAAAGTGGCAGTCAACCTTACGCGAGGAGGTTTTATTTTGGATGGAAATAGAATGTCTCCCCTGCATTGGGAAATATGCCCACATCTATTTGACAGACTGAGTCGATGCCTTGGGCAACAATATTAGCTCTACCTGCTCCACTGATGAACAATGCCATTAAACAAAAATATCTGTCTGTATTACGATCTACAGAACAGACCATGAATTGTGTCTGTGAAATGTGAAGAGGTGGTAGACTTGTGTGTGTGAACTGTGAAGAGGTGGTAGACTTGTGTGTGTGGATTGTGAAGAGGTGGTAGACTTGTGTGTGTGAAATGTGAAGAGGTGGTAGACTTGTGTGTGTGGATTGTGAAGAGGTGGTAGACTTGTGTGTGTGGATTGTGAAGAGGTGGTAGACTTGTGTGTGTGGATTGTGAAGAGGTGGTAGACTTGTGTGTGTGGATTGTGAA